AGATTATACATAAGAATTTTAATTCGTAATCTATAACACCGGATTAAGATTATATCTATGTTTCCTTGTTGTACACTATCTTAAGAAAAACGTTATTAATTTAAATCGATATTAATAATTTTACAATTCATTTTTTTTAGTACACTACAAAACGATCTATATTATTTGAAAAAAAAATCGCCATTTTCTTTTTTTTTAATTTTGTTGTTGTCTCTTTTCTGTTATCTCTATTCTTATTGTCAACTTGGTCAAGATTTGCACATTCAACGGAAGTTAAAATAATTTGTGTATACGTTTAACTAATAAATTTCGCGTTTTAAACCGTTAAAAGTGTTTATTACTGTAGACAGTTTTTGGTTAGTATTAACGACACCATACTTATATCAAATTCTGACATGTCCCTTTCGATGTTCGTCAGTTCGTTAACTTGGCTTGGTTCGTCAGTTGGTTAACTTGGCTTGGTTCGTCAGTTGGTTAACTTGGCTTGGTTCGTCAGTTGGTTAACTTGGCTTGGTTCGTCAGTTGGTTAACTTGGCTTGGTTCGTCAGTTGGTTAGCACATCGTAAGCGTGCGGTAGGTGCGAATGTCATTATTGAGGCTAAATAGACTTTATGCGTTCCGAATAGTCGCGTAAATAGAGTTTTATTGCCGCCCGGTTTAGTATTGCCGCAAATTGCCACCTACCAATTGCTTATTACTATATAATAAACATACTATTTGGATACTGGACATATCTATCTGAGAATAATTATCGCTCAACGCACTCTTGCACTAGATTTCCTCGGTTCGGAACCCGGCGAAACTAGAAATCGATAAGTGATATGGAACTGTGTACGCCCCATGTCATAAACGGGATTACAAGAAATACTTGTATTAAAGCTATTTTCTAGAACTATCCACAATATTCTCAAGAAAAGCAAGTAATGACCCAGTTTTATCAAAATCGACCGTCTTGTTATAATATTAAGTTATGTTAACTTAATTCTACAATTTTAAATGTTAGTTGAAATAAGTGTGTCGCGCAGATAAATCATTAAGTATAGTATTAAGTATATAATCATTAGTATATTTATTTATAAGCATTAAATGAAAATTATCACTGAAGAGTTTGTTTGTTTGCTTGAACGCGCTAATCCCAGGAACTACTGGTTCTAATTGAAAAATCTTTTATTATTTATTTTTATTTATTGTTGCTTGTTTTATTTATTATTGTTTATTGAGCAATTATCGAGGCTATAAAATGTTTTACTCTGACTAATAAAAGCGAAGAAACAGAGGAAATTGGGGAAAATGGGGAAAATTAATCATCTTTGTAGGGTTCCGATGCGTACGCTATGAAAATGGTTCAAGATACACAAAAAATATGTATCAAAGAAGATTTTTCTTTCAATTTTCAAAAAAAATGTCCAGTATATGTCTATCTGTTAAGATGAACTCACAAGAACGACGGGTCGCGGAGCGATGGGACGCGTCCGATGACCTAGTTAACAGCTTGCAAAAATCGGTCGCTGATTCAGCTAGTATATAATATAGTTATTTTAGTCTGGGTCTTATTGCATTAATGAAAACTATCTGAATTGTTGTCCCGGGGGAAATTACAATTTACAAGTGGCCTAAATTTCCCCTTGTTAAGGTTTTCTTTAAGGATTGATAACCCAGGCATATAACATCTAAACAAGATGTGTTGTCTACCTATTTGGGCTTCGGATATTCGGAAATCCACAAACTGAAACCGAAACATGATTTACCTGGACTGTTTCTTATCTGAGGATGGTCGTTCGTGATCCGGGCGGAATTCCTAACACTAACTTACTGAAATTGGGATTCCACAAACCATACGGCATTATCCTACATAAGCGAGTCAGACACACTCTTGGCCGTTTCACATCACATACCTATTCTTGGCTACAGAGCTGTTGCGAAAGAGCACGAATGTACATTTCAAGTGGCATTTCAAAATTTTCCTCACACATCATCTTGATTTGTCACCTATATCTTATCGGCTGTCTCCTTCTGCAATATCTGTACGGATTTGCGTGGAAATAGGACAAAATACTTAGATAGCGCCTGTTTGCTCTGTTATCAGTGAGCAATGTTTTCTGAATTGCTGTTTGTTTTGCAATTTCGATAAACTTTCTGTGGTGATACGTTTTTTTAATCGCCGATTGGGGCAAAGAAGTCTCACACGTAAAAGTTTACAAGTATTTTTATATTCTAGTTAATCCGTTGATTGTGAATCCTTTGATTTTTTTTTGTTTATGAGATTAATTATTCGATCAATTTTAATTACTATAATAGTTCTTGCGAGTTCAAGAAGAATAATTCTTTTACGCATTTTTCGCTTATTTTATGCTTTGGTTTCTTGAATTGTTATCGCAGTACGCGCAATGAAAATCTTCGAAGGTATATAATTTTCCAATGCTTTTTACGCTCCTTTTTGTCGCAGCGCCATGATATGTCCAAAGCCTTCTTCAATACATTATTCTTTCATTTCGTCCAATAGTCCAACAAACAAACTAGAATGGAGTTTGATTCCTCCTCTATCATAGAAAAATAAAAATGCTTCAAGCAACATAGGTCTTAAAACTATGTAGAAATTATATAGTTAAATATTTTAAATGTTACCTTAAGTTAAAATGCCTCTAATAAAAAAAAAGTTCGGTTGCTAACTCAAGATAGTTTACAAATTAAAAATCGTAAATCTTTGTCTACCTTTGCGTTATGACGGGCGGACGTTCCCAAATACTTATTTACAAAGTAAGCAATATATTCCAAGGTACAATGAATGGGCAAGCCGCGCCCTATTGGGTGCAGTGTCACTAAATAAAACGTTTTATGAAGCACTAGTTCGGACTACTGGGTTTCTTTGCCCTTACGTCTTAAAAAAAACAAAGGATACAGCATACATTTAAATAAACTACTACATATAAAAACTGAACAAACTAGTGATAGATTTAAACTATAACAGAGGTATATTTTAGTAATAAAACACAATATATAATACGAAAAATCTGTGATCGGTATATCATTTGCAAAGAAATAATTAGTTAGCGCTATCTAACAACGATCTCATTTTAGCGCAGCGCCATCTAGTAGCGATTTGGATGACATATGTACAAAATTATATTCAGTTGTTATCTACCCTCAACGTATATTGAAGGAGGTCATTTTTGGAAACGCTTGTTACTTGATTGCCTTTCAGCCCGACCAGAGGTCTGATATGAAGTTGGGTCTCGTGTTTCACTCTTTAGAAAAAAATATTTTATTTGGAAAGTGTGTATGTGGTATGGCGGGCTGTGATGGATCATGAAAAAATTAAGATAAATCTCTTCACAGATAAATGATGAATAATGGCCAGCCATTATAACTACCCCTTATGTGTTTGCGCACAAACACTGTGAAAGAAGAATTTCATATATTACACATATAGATAAAGGAAATGTGTCCCAGTCATACATTACTGTCATTACGGAGAAATGTCCGATGCGATATGATAGTAAATGATAAGGATTCTATTTGAGATTGTAAACCTCCGCCGCGTTATAAATCCGGCACACCAACATAGGATTTCCGCCGTTTATTGCGCAGACTGGCTTCAGGAACTGCGATTTTCGTGGGCTTCCCGGTTGTTTATTTAAATTTAAAAATGCTATTGCGTAGTACCAATTATTTTTAGCTGTTACAATAATTTAAAATATAACTTTTACTAATATTCATTTGATATCGAGCCGAAAAATTACTACTTAACTATCGATAGCTAGTTAATTATAGGGGTTGATTGTGGAAGGTAGAAAATTGTTTTAAATGCCGCATGGGTGGCCCATGTCAATTAGGGCTATGAAGTATCTGAATATGCATGTAAAATTTTATTAAAATCGGTCAAGCCATTTCAAATATAATATAATATTTTGTGTATAACATATATTATATATTATACACAAAATATTACATAATGTGACTGCCAATTTGCAAAAATGTGTGAATTGAATTTAAGACCCGTCTCAAAAATTTTACATTGAATTCGGATCTCTTAATAAAAAAAGTAGCTCACCCCTAAAATACTCCGATCAAATGAATTTGTGGAAAAGGTAAACAAAGAGTATGTATATCCACCCTTTTAGTATAGCGATGTCACATAAATTTATTAGTAATTTTAGTTTTTTATTTTATTACAACCCAATACATTAGTTGGATTTTTTCTAAATGATTTTTATTTTTATCTTTATAAATAACATACAATAAAACATGTGTTGTTGAATAGTGGTAGCTAGTGAATAATGTTTATTGGGACGACAGCCGTAAGTTTTTTGGTGGTTTTACGGTCATGTTGTGGTTTTACATTTTCTACAAATTCAGCTGGATCGGAGTATTATATACCTACAATACTTTCAAAGATAAAATGCACAATTTTTGTACGCCGTGACATTCAAAGAAAAGTCTCGTTGTTAAGTCATCTTTCATCAATCAGTTCAAGGTTGACGATAAATACCCAAATTAGTGACAGTAAGGTTGGCATTATTCGGGGAATTAACGAATGAGAGATTCGTGCTGCTCACGCGATATTGAGACCGATTGACTCATCGGCTTTAAGGTAATTCCTTAAAGATTGATTCCCGGATTCTAGAATTATGACACTGATTAAAGTTGACCGGCCGTTAACATTAAATAACTTTTAACGGGTAAAACGCAAAACATACAAATTGAACACGATTTTTTGTTTGTTTGATTTTGTTTCATTTTAAAGGTGGGCTGCCATATCCCCCGCAACTACTGCTCCTAAAAATGGCAATAATGCGGTCATAGTTAAAAATAAAATTACTTATTCATTTTAAACCGTTTAGCGTGTTTCATATTAAAGTTTTCTGCATTTAAAGGTTTGGTGAAACTATAGTAAATATAGCGTGTAGCAATAGTTGTAAATAAGATCAAATATAGTAATGTAGCTAATTTCACAGATTCAAGAATGTCATCTTCGCCGCTGCACCGCTTTCTGATGCGTGATGTCGAATAGCCAGTTGAGCGTGGCGCGGACGGCGAACTTGAACGAACAAGGTTGGTGCCATTGTCACTTTTTTGCTTATAAATACGAAAGTCACGATAACTAGGGGTCATCTCTTCGAAACAAAGCTTGGCTGCGGGGTTTTACCTATTTCAAGTGGCTAAAAACAAAATAGGGCTGGGATATTAACGTCCATTAGATCTTATGCTGGTCTGTGGTCTCCTCTATTGTCATATTATCATAAAGAGAAAAAATAGTGGGTAGTTTTACATTTCTCACAAAATGGACTCCTGATATATTAACTCAGGACAGGTAGGGGCCGAATTAGAGTCTCGCATGTGTCATTAATTATCCTACAAAAATCTTGTTCAATTAATGATATTGTGAAATAATTATATAAAAATTTAAATTTAAGAAACAGTAAAATGAATATTGTAATCGTTGAGGCAATTTTAAAAATTAGTTGAAAATATATTCGTGAGCTTTGCAAGCGCCAAGGAAAATATTATTATGAAATAAATGCAGACGTTTATGTGTTGACTGAAATATAGTTTGAATCGATTGTTTAGACTACTCGTAGGAAGGGAACAAAACGCTGGCGAGGGAAATTCTTGGAGTAGGTGAAGTTTATCGGGTGAGAATTACATTTGGATAATATTGAGATTAATTCTCAAAGGAAATTCTAAATGTAATTCTTATAATTAGTTATATAATCTGTTTGCACATTAATTCTCAACATAAGATATTGTCTCTAGATAACGCAAGTAGAACACAGTTAAAAAAAAACAATTTTAATGTTTTAAAACGCAAAATAACCGGAGCCGTAGTTAAAATAGTGTTTATATAAGTTAAATAATCCATTTTGCGTTTTAAACCATAAGAAGTGTTTTATTTAAATGTATACTACTCGTCTTAACAACAGATAATATCTATCATTAGACCTATGTCTAATGTGCAAACAGATTATAAGAACAAACTATAATAGCCATTTTAAGCGAAATACCAAAGTTTTTAGAAATCTGTTTTAGCTTATGAAACATGCAAAGATGAAATAGGACCAACTAAAATTAAAATATGTAATTTAATTATTTTTTTCGCACATAAAGCGTATATGTAGTAACTTTGTTGTGTCAGATCTGATCTGAAGATGAGCCGCAACTCATTGGTTAAATGTATTACTTGTTTTTATCCGATGGTGTGAATGCCTAATGCACGCCCACGTCGGGCAATAGTGACGTGGGAAGTGTGGTAAATCGTACTACAGCCTACTATTAGAACCATAAAGCACACCACCAGCCCGCTATGGTGTTTTTGACATCCTGGGTACACGTTTGTTAAGTTTGTCTAATGCGTTAAAATATGGAGGTGGAATCCAAAGATAACTCATTAAAGTACCGCTCGAGCAGTACACAGTAAGGTCAAACGGTTTCGCTTTTGTCATATATGTCAGTTTAGATTTCTCCCACATACGATTCTAGGTATTAAAAATTAGGCCGGAATGCGGAAACGGACCGATAATAAACAAAATCCGTTTGATCAAAGAATTTGACACGTGAATGAAATCAATGAAAGCGGACAAATTAAACTTTGATGTCATTGTTACGGCTTTGAACTAATTTTAAATTATGGCGCCCGGTGCTGTGGCGTCCGTCAATCGTGAACATAAAAATAACCTTTTTTCGAATACACCACATTTTTTACATTCAAGTGACAAAGTAAGTGAAAAGTCATTAAGGAAATCACCATAATAGCTCCTGGCTCCAAACTTTCAGGCATCTGACTATATAATTACTTTTTAATTATAGTTCTGTAAAGTTTTTTATTATTATATTTGAGTAAAGTTAGCTCGTGATATTAAAATACCTCACATTTTAAAAGCTAGATAAATAGTTAACTGACAAAGAATTTACAAATGTTAGATTCGGTCTCTAGCTAATTAATTTTGGTTGACTGAAATAATATTTATTAGGTTTCTTCGAGATCCGAACCCATGATCACTAGCGTTTAACTATTGAGTTACAAAGGTCATATCAGATCAAACACCCGATCAAATCACTCGATAATGTGATTAGCTTGTTCTAGTTATTAGCCCATATTAATATCGGCGGCTTATTGAAGGGCCATTGAAAATGCTACAGTGATAAGTAGGTGATAACTATACACAATGTGTAATGTGTTAAAAGGATAGAGGAAACAACAGCTCTCCTTATGCTATAAAACGCCTTTTGACGAACTCGTCGGTCCTCTAGTCCAACATGCCATTCTCGGTTACAAAAAAGCTTAGATCCAAAACAGATAAAAGTATCCGCTTATCTGTTACATGTGTGTAATAAGATGTTATCACCAATTATTATCTATGACCATAATATCAACATATTAAAAGGGGAGGGACTATTCAGTATTTAAATTTATTCTTATATCTTTTGTTTTAACCCTTTATTTCACGGTGGTAACGGACGATAAAGTTGCCCTAACATTTTTGTTTTTTTCATTTCAGATGAGCCTGGCTCGACTCTACCTCCGACATGCTACAATCGGATTTATTATTCTATCATGGATCTACACGCCACTCGTTCATGCAAAGAAAACAAAAAGATACACTTGTCCCATTGGATATTCCATCGCGTACACAAGAGAAAAAGGCCAGCCTATTTGCTATAGACTAAAAGGACCGGAACTGTTTACGGACAAATATAAAGACTGTGTCGGCAATTTGTACACGTCAAAACTGTACTTGGATTTAAACTTCACATCACCGCACATGGTGCTATGGACAGAATTCAAATCTCTGTACCCCGGAGGTACATTTGTGGACTGGTCCTTCACAAAATCTATGGGAACCGAACTAGATTCGTCGTTCGACGTCAACATAGATCCAACGACAGACATAGGTGAAGACTTGTGTGTGGCTATCGATCCGATCAGCAATTTCACAGCCGTGAAATGTGACGATAAATATTTTAGCTACTGTTTTGTGAAGCCGTACTCCGAGGAAGACGACATTTCTGACTCCGGTTGTGACGAATTGAATGACGCGGTCAGATTTTGGAGTCCGGATTCCACGTGCCTTACGGTTTTGACCGGTGTCGGAGGTGGTCCGGTGAGAGCCACTTGGAAGCAAGCCCAGGACTTATGTGGGAAGCGAGGGGGTTCACTCCTGAATCGGGGTTGGAGATATTCCAATAATCCTATATTTCATAATAACGGTTACAACAATACCTATCCTCTGGGAGTTATTATGAATTCGGATTTCACTTCCTTACGATATGATACAATGGATGATCGTTCTATGGTAAGTATTAGCGTTGGCACACACTAGACACGTGACAGCGGTTAGACGCTGAATATGGCGTCCAGTGTACGCCTAGGCTTAGTTGAATTTATTTTGTTTGTTTGTCTTCTGCCAAGTAATTTTTGTGTAATACGCAGATAGCCTTGTACTTTTAGCATATATATCCACAATGTATTTTATGCTTTTTCCTAGGAGTCGCCTGGAAGGAAACGGTGGATACCGTTATGCCCGATCGTTACATTCCATAGTTTAAAATTTTCCCTTATGTTGTAAATTATAATAAAGAATTTAGTAAATAAACTTACTTAGTGTTATATTACTAGGTTCCTTCGTCTGAGTGGAATTTTGATGAAATATGCAATAATAACTCAGACACTCTGTTTGGTGCTCTTCGAGAAGATTTCTGGTATCTCATAAACGGTTCCTACATATTCTTCGACGTTATCTGTGAGCGAAGCATTCATGTTAAAAACCTAGACATGAGACTTGATATTGACTTGTACGTATTAATTTTATTAGTTTATATTGTTTTATTAATTATTTATGAATTGTAAAGGGTTTTGTAGCTATTTTTCAAATCTGTTTAGGGTATACGGCCGTCGTAATTCAGAGACTTTTAACTTCTGAATTAGTCCTAGTAGAATTGACGAAACTGCTTTTCATATTTCAGAGACAACAAGATTACTTTAGAAGTAAACGACTCGATAGATAGCGACAAAATATATTGTTATACAGACTCTTTGGATCGTCATCTAGCCAAAGTTGGTAAACGTCGTAAAGACGAAACAAACACCTTTATCGTGAAGCCAGAGAAAGACGGCTACTACTGGTGTACCCACGTGGATGTGAAAAATTATAATACGTCGGAGTCGAACCGAGTACTATTTATCAGAGAAAAACAATCGGTCGTTAATCGTTATGCGGTTAAAATACGTCACTTTAGGCGACTGAAACTGGAAGCGATCGATAAGCTAGTTCCCATTTGGGAGATGAAATTGAAAGAGTACATCTTTTTCCGGAATAAATATGAAAGTGTGTTTGGCGCGTTTAACTCGAATTACAACGAAGACACCTTGAAAAGTTTTAAGTTTTCAAACCCCGCCTTAAATTGGAAGGAAAAGGTTATTTTGGAGAAAGTCAAAGTGCAGAGACTGTACCTAGACGCTCAATCAGTTTTGCTGCATGTAGAATTGAGTGCTAGTATAAACGTCGTCGCTCCCGGTTTTTGGGACGGATTGGAAATTGTGTATATGAAGCCAGTTTATTTCTGTAAAGGATTTGACACAGTTCCAACAGTAGCTCTCGGTAAGTAGAAAATGCTACTACTATCTACATTTTCCCACTATAAATAGGTTGCTGCTGCCGGACCACTTATGATTTCATTTCTAAAGAAGTGCCTGTTAAAAAATTTAGACCCACCACTCTAGTAGAGAGATTTTAACCGGGACCGATGGCTTAATGTGCTTTTTCGAGGTACTAATGTGTTTGACAACTATTACTTCCATTCTCTGATACTAGAAAATTTCTCATAAAAATTACAAATATAATTCTAAAATTTCTAGTGCTTCAAACCTCATGTTCTACAGTTGAGTTTAATAACCACTACGAATTTGAAATAAATAATATGCATAAAAAAATAAATACACGTATTCAACTGTTAAGCAGAGGTTAATGATGAAGGACCCACAATTTGACTCATAAAGGTCAAATTGTGGGTCCAATTTAAAGTAAGGACGCTCTTAATTCATCCAAGTAGAAGTATACGTTAAAATCTTTATATACTCAAACAATATAAGAAAATATACATTTTTTATAAATTGCCATAATTCAAATGTGTTTATATTATCTTTCCCAAGAAACTCTGCTGAAATTAAATCTACAATAGTTTTACAATATTCGTAGCATCAAATATAACGATTAGTTTATTTAAATAAAACTTATTTTTGTACCCCCGTGATTACGACTACTGCTAAGCAACGTCGGGTAGTTAACTTCTACAAAAACACTAGGTTTTATTGAAATAAATCAAAACGTTATTAGTAGTGTATATATCGGTAAATATTTTTTAAAAGCAACAAGTGTAGTTAGTAGTGTGTTGTTTATTTTTAATTTTTTACATAGATGAATCAGTAGCATCAGCTGGTTGTCGAACCCATACGTGCGTGGGTGACTTCAACGAAGGTGTCCAATGGGTGACAAGTGCCACACGAGACTGCTCCACCTACGGCTCCTTCACTATTGACACGGAAGTGGAGTTAAGCACAGAACTCCACTTCGCCATGCCTACAGCCAATCCTACACCAGACACGGTAAGTTCCTTCTATGTAATAAAGAGAGGTACATATATGAAACACTAATTAGATAATAAATTAAAAAATTGAAATAATCGGTAGCAGAGGCGGGACTCGAATCTAGGACACAGCGTTCCTGTTCTGTTCCTTTTTTAGAACCCTGTCTTGTACAATAGTTATACTTTATTAGTTTAGTAATTCATTTTTTCGGCGTCACATAAGCTTTAAATTCTGTGATATTTTTTATTAGCAAACTCCCTACTATGTCTTATTCACGATATTTTTTAAAACGTTTATATATAATGGCTGTGAGATTTAAGTGGCCCATACCTACTTAGACTAACTAAATCTTCATGCTCTCGAACTTTTAGTTGTCGGAAACAAATTTAAAATGTCAAATCTTGTTCATCAAACCCAGTTCATGACATTACTTTTCGCACAATTGACTAACTCAACTAATTATAGCTTCGGGATACCACTGATAACACCTCATCAGAACTTTGGGAGGACACAGACGAACCAGAAATAACGAGCACCACTTTAAGTTCACTAATGAGATCCAATCGCACTGATAGCGACGAAGTCACGTCAATACCAGAGGAAACAATACCAGAGGAAATATTAACAGCTACCCCAGTCATAACCACTGAAGAGATTTTAACTGGGACTCCTTTCATACCCACTGATCTCACTCCACCCACAACCACCACCACCACCACAACACCAGCTCCTAGGCCGGTGAGTGACATAACATGATTAATACTCGAAAAGATATTCATGACTTTGTCTTTAGTTAGCTCCATGTATTCATGTACACAGTGTAAAATCCAATTTTTCTTACATTGAGGATGATGCAAAGACATTTCTGTACCACTTCTTGGGGTTCCGAGCTCGTCAGTTCTGATTGGGAAATTGTTGTCGACGTTTCACCATCACAAGATGGCAAGGATTCATGGCATATATACATGTTGAGCATTCTGTTATTAAATGAGAATTCATTTGATAAATTTTAATTACAAGCAGGACCGGAATGCTTTACCCCGGCCGGCCTGAAACTATTTATGTTTTTCGGGATTCAAACCCGGGGCATCACTTGCGTAATGCAATCCTCAACTATTAAACTAGCAATTTTTTGTTGGATGATGTATGATATAGGTCATATTTGTAATCTATTAAAAAGAAGAAAGATTTGTATTTTTGTATGTAACAGATAAACTCAAAAAGTACTGGACCGATTTTAATAATTCTTTTTCATTAGAAAGCTATTATTATCTCTAAGTAACATAGGCTATATTTAGTACCTGATTACTATAGGCGTCTATAGAAATTCTTGCTAAAACCAACGAAAGGCGTAAGAAATTAGCCGTAAAATGTCTTTCTTCGCATACGCTGCGAAAAGTATTAACGATAGGACAAAAAAATGTTCGACAATATTATAGAATATATCAATATCTACAAAAAACATCGCGAGAGCATATGTCTAACTATTGTACTTACGTCGTGTGTAGAAATGCCGATCAAAATCAGACCGTGTTATCCATACCATTTATAAATTTTTATCCAAATAAATAATTTAATTTCAAGACTGTCCTCAATACCTGATGATTACTTTTTAATTTTTGAAATCGCACATGCCATGCAAAAGATATCATAAAATTAAAATAAAAATACATGCCGGCGGCGGTCTCCACGATGTAAAGCATCGAGTAACTAATTCGACGATAGAGGGGCTGTGGGCTCCTTACGCAGTGGGCGCTAACGACATTGAATATTTAGATTTTTTTTATTTATTATTTTCTTTTGTATTCTTAATTTCTTTGATTTAAAATAAATATTCTTCATAACAATATGCCTAGAAGAAGAAGGTCGTAGCTATCTAAGAATAGTTTCCAAGCGAGATTAGTAAATGTTCGTCGTATTGGAGAGTCTTCTTCCTAAAATGATCGTCTGGAAAGTATTAGAGTGTACGCGTCTCAATCGCGAGCCAGAGATTCTGTCGTCGAACGTTCAGGTTTGTCTTGCAGAACAAAATGCAAGATAGTCGCAGCGACTTGAAGGAAATAGAGCTAGGAATTCGCGAACGCGTGCACGGGACTCTAACACTGAACGCTCGCAGCGGCTCCTAACGAGCGAGATAGACCACGGTCGTTTATAGGAGGACGCGCGATACAGTTTATTTCTAATTTAGTGATCCATGGTGGTTTTAATTAGCATGCTTATAATTTAAATATTTGTACTTATTTATGTCTACCCGTGCGAAGCCGGGACAGGGCCGCTAGTTTTAAATAATTGATGGCCCGATCATGATGCCTTTTTAACTAAACTAAAAATATAGCCTGTTCATATTTACCAGTATTTGTAATGTGTACGTAAACATTGGATATCATAAAATGTAAATTAAGTTCGTAAATAATATTCTAATCAAGCGTTTTAAATTCCCATTTTTCAGCCAGACCAAGTACTGCAACAAGTGTTGGATGATTTGACAACTCTCACAAACAACTCCGTTCCAGTTTTTTTGAACAACATAACACAAGTCTTCGATGAGGTAGGTATAGCTTTGAATTTACTAAAACAAACCGCCTATTTAAACAGACATAATATTTACTCAAGTAAGCGTTCTTAAACTTTTACGATTATACTACATAATGTAAGTACATTGAGACAAGATTTTATCAATATCGGTCAAACCTTTGGAGTATCAAAGAGGCCCCAACACATTGTTAACTTTTGCATTTTCAAATAATAATAAATAATTTTCAGGTAGATAATCTTCTAGAGGACACTGACAGCTTGGAGATACCGAGTCAGCTCCTACATATGCTGGATAAGCTGGGATCCACGATACAATTGAACGGTTCTCACGTGGCCTCTGCAGTAAGAAGTAACATAGCTCTCGTCATGGCAGACGCGGAGCCAGAGTATCCAGTAAGAGGAATACGGATCGCTGCTAGAAGTGATGACGTTTTTGTGCCTGATGCATTTCAAGTTATTAATGGTAAGATGTTTTCACTTTCCACAATGACTTTTGTATGACGAATGATAAAGCAAGAAGAAGTAAGAATTTTAGTTCATAGAAGGTGATATACCAACTAAAGATATTCTGTCGACCTCATCTGGCTTTAGAAATGTTGAAGTGAAATTCTTAAAATAGTTTCTAGATTTTGAAGATACATTTCTGTACTAGAGATATCTTAAGGCCATGAATAACTATGATAATGAGTGACCAAGTCTGATCTCCCAATTCTGCTTCATCAACATGGCTTTTATATAAGAGAGGGAAAGAGACAAGGATAGGGATCTTGGGATGGAAGTAAAAACACCCGAGCCATATAACATATCAACAAAATGCGCTGTTGATCTACTTCGGTTGCGGATTTTCGAAAATCTACAATATAAATTAACCATTTCAGATACCCCGAACGATACGGAGTTACAAACGGGTGAAAATGAAGCTGTGGTGGTGTTACCAAACTCTATCTCAGACTCGTTGCGAAGAATTAGCTTCGTGGTTTTCAGGAATGATAAAGCATTTCAGAATGCCGACAGGCACGAAGTCAACAGCCGTGTTCTCAGCATCAAAGTGGAAAATATGACACAATTCAAGAAAGGCGAGGTGGGTTTCACTAATATACTGTGCGAGGTATTTAAGATGGAAAATAACGATGGCTAACGACTGCCTTAAACTAATTAACGAAAATATATTCCGTAAAGGCAAATTCCATCTGTACATAAAATTTCCAGTATAACAGACAATCAAGATATTAAAATAATTTTCGTCGGTGAATTGAAAGTAGAAAATCTGCTTTAGATTAGGTTAGTTAAAGGTAATAAACTAATAATAAACTATTTCTTTTACAGGCGATCGATATACACCTAAGTCCTATTACATCGAATATCACGCGGAACCAAAGCCGAACTTGCGGCTACTGGGAGTTCCGCGACGACGGAACTGGATACTGGTCCCAAGAGGGATGCACCTTTATACCGTCATCTGGCGCTGATGATCTGGACACATGCAGATGCACCCATCTCACACATTTTGCAGAAATTCTCGTCCCAAGGGAACTATTCTCCGAACACCATGAGCGTGTCCTGGAAATGATAACCGTTATTGGCTGTTGCTTGTCTTTGTTTGGTTTATCCCTGGTCGCAGTCACAGCCATCATATTCAGGACCTGGAGACGCGACTTCAGCAATAAGATTTGGCTTCAGCTCTGCGTCGCAATATTCCTATTGGCTCTGACGTTCATTGTGGTGGTATTCGCTCGTTTTAGTACTTACAACATTCCCTGCATGTTAATAGGTGTCGCTTTGCACTACTCAGTTCTGGCATCGTTTTGCTGGATGCTGGTGGCCGCCGTTTTATCATATCGACGTTTAGTCCTGGTCTTCTCCAGGGACGCCTCTCACAAGCTTTTGAGAGCATCAGTTTTTTCTTGGGGCACGCCCTGTGCGATCGTCGGTGTTCTTCTTTCGATAGCTCCGAACTCTTATGCGGGGCGTTTTGAAGAGAAGACCCCGAGCGGTTCCTTCTGTTACCCGTCTGGTGTCAGTTTATGGGTAACGGTGTACGCTCCTATTTGTGGCGTTATTTTGGTGAACTGGACGCTATTTTTCCTGATAGTTCGCTCCGTGTTCGCTTCCAGACGAATCCAACGGCACGGAGATTCAAATGAGGCACTTCGCTGCGCGTCTGTCAGCTGCTTACTGGTGTTCTTGTTTGGTCTGCCGTGGATTTTCGGACTCTTCGCCTCAAACCTTGTGGCGGCGTATCTGTTTTCGCTAACGGCCTCTTACCAGGGATTCATTTTGTTCCTATTCTTTATAGTTGGTAATAAAAAAACTCGAGACTTATGGCTGAACAAGTTGAAGATAATACAGACGAGGAAGGTGCCTGTGACCTCGTCGACGTATTCCAACAGGAGCACGGGGTGGAGGCCCAACGCGAGTACCACGATAGAATCGAAGGTCTCGAAGCCCAAGTCGCTGTCCACTCCAGATGACTCGAGATTCTCTTGACAAAGGCCTGAGTTGTCGTCCAAACGACGTCGGTACCTGGACAGCTACGATTCCTTCCAAATATAGTATTAAATTTACGCTAAACTAGTTAAAATAGCTCGACTCTATCTAGTCCTTCTAGCAGTGGTATAGGTCTCGATTCATGTTAGATATAAACCAATTTATTTCTATAAAAAAATGCTATTTCAATGCCCTTAATTACTCTTGTAATTAAATGTAATTAACAATATTTCAAGGACTCGATAACGAACCAAAATTTAATTGATATATATTTTTAAACGCTCTATAGATACAGTAAGATCGTATTCAGAGATTGAAGACAAAGCCTGTATATATAATACGTAATATTATTTATAAGAAATTAGTGATAAGTATTTAAGAGGCTAGCTAGGTACCATTTACTTTTGAAGTATCAAATTGTGTTATGAGAACGATGTACACATAGATAAATTAAAAATATCGTTGCACCGTTTTTCATATCTTTTCACCCCTTGATTTTACTCGTTTATTTTTTCCTAGAATTCCGTACTAAAGGGATAAAAAAGAAAACAGTGCAACAAAAACTTCGCTCTCTGCCTGTCTGTCCCCGGCTTTAATATATCTTGTTGTCCTAATCAATGGTAAGTAACTCTTAGGGCGCTATTCCAGCTTGCGCTAGGTCGATTTGTATACTTAGCCCGGTCAAAAAAGACATTCACGGTGACACAAGTTTGCAAAAACGTGATTAATTAAGAAAATAATAATACATTTTTAGTAAATCGATTCTATGCATAGAGCACTGAAATAACTAAATAAAATAGTTGATACCACAGTAATAGTTAAACGATTGTCTACAAATCACACCGATGCTTCTAAGATTAGTAATTAGAATATTACTATTTAAAAAAATATTGATTTTCTTATAAAGCCAGCACGCAAGCGGTAGCATAATACGTACATTATTATAGGGAGATTCTATTGTAAAAGTATTATACATATTATCTTGTTAATCCGTGCAAAGGTTTTACTTTGAAAATAGCTAAGAATCAGAATAGCACGTTGCCTAGCAACGCCCTTTAAAATCACGCTTCACTACCATATTGTTTATATAGAATTATGACAATGTCATCGTGGCCATTCCTTCGCTACGAGTCGAGAGAACACACCGCAAAATGTACTGGGGAATAACTCCTGCGTTGGATTTCCAACAAGAGTACATTAAATACGGCGACGAAAACGCCTACGAACTAAACTTTCTGATCGTCGGAGGATGCGACGCGAGGCATCTGATCAAAACCTTAGCACAGGCGTATCGTCACAAAAGGAGATACATGAACCTGTTCGTGGTCGATGGCTGTCCCGAACTCATAGCTCGACAAATCTTACTGCTATCGCTGGCACTGGAACGGACGACACGATGCGGTCTGCTGGAGAAAACCAGGAGGTTCCTCGAAGTGTACGGGAACATTCTTCTTCGACCGTCAACGTCCAGGTATCTCACCGCAAAGGCACGGCAATTGGTCAACATGATCACAAACCCAGAATACATGAGCTGTCTAATACCGAGCGTCTCTATTGACCAGATGAAATATCGTGAAAGGGATTATATGGAGAACCTCTTCAATTTTTGGACAACCGGCAATACCAATCAGTTCAATGCCTGTGAACTGTGGGAGCATCGAATACGGCACACGCTCGGAGTGAGATACGACAATAGAGCTGGAGTCTTCGACTGGGATTATCATATGCGTATGAAGGAAGTCGCCAGCCAGATATGCTTCCAGGAGTACAAACATTTCAGAGAACATGGTCTGGCATTTACGTGGTTGGAGACTGAAGTTTGTCGTCCAAACGTGAGTTTCGCTGCCGGCGTCTACAAGTGTGGTGATAGGTACTTACATAGGGGCTACCTCGGAGACATGGTGACCTCGCCGTACATATCCTACGGCATAGACTGTGAAGATAAAGATATGCTGGTATCAACACACGGCGTCAACTATAAACGTGCTACAGACATATCTGAACGAAATGTAATGAGGATGTTTTACGAATTGGAAAATCGCAAGTCCTTTGACGTGAATAAGTTTAACTTAGAGCAACAGAATTTGGGAATGGTTACGATAAGCCAACTCGACGCAAAGATTTCCGAGAGCGTCACCGAAGCTCCGTTGATCCTTCGAGAGGACCGAGAGACGTATATCGAAGTCGATTATGGAAAAGTCCATTTTCTTTCTCTTTCCGCTTTAGACCATTATCCACACAAGCCACATTTCCAAGGTCTTTTCCACGGTGTTTTTGTCGGGCACAACATGTTGTCTAGGTTAAAGCCGAGTATTTGGTCGATGGCGCGCGATGACGCGGTGGTCGTCATGGAGTCACGAAAGTACATGGTAGGGCTGAAAAGAGAGGAAGTGAAAGCGTACGGCGAGCTCATCCAGCAGGCGGCTACAACGGCACAGTGTGACAAAATATTTGCCTTCAATCCGGAAAAAGACGATTTCGCCAAGTTCGTAATTAGAAGAAAAAGTGAGAGCACTGACATATCCCTTTAAGTATTTAAATGATTGTTTTTTAAGTTTATCTCATAAAAAGCGAAATATCTAAGTGATTGAATTAGTTAAAGTTTAATGGTCTTTGGATTTTAAAAGAAAACCATGAAAAAAATTGGTATTCATCTATTTTCGGTCATTAATAATATGTTACATTCATTTAGTAAATAATATAGCAAATATATTTACAAGGACGAAATAAACAGGAAAATAATAACGTTTCAACGTTTTTTTTTCGTTTAAAATTCGTATTTTATAATACATAATATCACTTATCAATAAAATTCACATGATCAGTAATTTGGTAGTGGTGACTTCAAGCATTCACGTAATTAGTACATTCATATTTTGTCTTAGGTAATGATGGAAACTGAAATTAGTCCAATGGATTTTAATAACTTCAATAAATAAAATATATTGTAGCTGCTGATAAATGGAAGCTATTGAGGTATTTTGTGAAATTCGTGGGGAATTCGAGACTGGTGTTTTATCACAAGAATATTTGAAATAAGCAGTGAGCTAAGCCTGTATCTTCAAAAATTAAAATACGTTAAAAAATACAAGCTATTATTAAATTATTTAACAACAAGTATTAGAGCGAAAGTAACCCACAACCAAAATTATTGTGCAACAGACGCAGCACTACCGCTATCGTCATGGATAAATGTCTGTTAATAATAATGTGCGTACATTTCCACACCGTTATCTAATTCTACATGTGAAATGGGGAATTACATGAACCCGTGAAGGTCAGACCACCACCGTGAGCATTGGCGATCTCCGGCCACAAATTGACGTGTTAGGCCCGCGCGACACGCGAGTGCGGTCGATTTGACACAAATGACTCGACAGACACAGACATTCGGTCGGACCAACCGACCGGTGGTCCGGGACACATAGACGAGGCACCGATCCGCTTATTGCGGGGAAATACACCCGGAAAACCAACACAGGTCCACGCAGTGCCTTCAGCCGCCCTTGTCGTCCACTGAACGGTTGGTCCGTGGATATTCGGCTACACTATTTAGAAAACTCGTCGGATTTGTCATACTTGTGTTGATATCGGTGTAAAATTATTGTCACAATATCAAATGAGAGGCAAACCCAATTCGAATTTCTAATTTGTTGACCTAAAGTCTGTATGGATTCAAACAATACACTGTAATATTGAAATAGGTGAATCTGAAAGTATGACAAATCTTTACAGACACTCTACAATACACATTCATTATCATTTATCGAGATAACATTAGAAACTGATCCAATTCACTTACCTTGTAATCCCTACCTACAGTTGTTGTGAACGTTTCGCTTCACACTGAACATCGAATAACTATTTTAAATTAACGAGACAATAAACATGTTGATTAATATAACTACCGTAAATATACACCACGGGCGTTTGAGCATCTTACCAAAATGTTTCTTATTTCCACGTCTATACAAATAATTACTCGATACTTATCTAGGTATTTATAGCTCACTGTCTCTGGCAGTGCTTCGGATTTAAGGCATAACAGCTGAATGTTCAAACAAGAAGTAATTTTGGTACTTTCGTAAAAAAACCGTAGAATATAATCCATGTCTTAGGTCTCGACCGCACGCACGGTACATTCAAATAATACGCGCACGCGACGCCAACTGGGCGCGACCGCGCTTGATTTGGGTATAAGTGAATTGCGCAAGACTGCAAATCGACGTGGCTACACAAACACAATGTAATAAAACCTGTCCATACTACTGTTAACCGAACTATAATGTTGACATTGTCTTACTTAATAGAGGCAATGATTTTAATGTCTGAAGAACACAGAAATCGATTGTGTAGTGATTCTGTTAATCCTGTCCTTTAAAATAAAAACAACACTCTTCCGAAATCCACGTCATTTGAAAGGCGGCGGAGCGAGGTTCGCACCCAGTCACAGAGTATTGCATTTATGACTACCCTGTACGAATTAATAATTTACTATTTAGACTTACACATTATAACCATTATCCATAAGATTAATTACTTAAGAACGAGACCGTCTGGCCGAACATCGTTTTGCATCTTCAACGAAATAAGTCGATGTAGCTATTTTAAGCTAGCCCCGCGAGCCTTGTGTGATATTCTTCAATATATGTGGCGCCTGAGCTGCAAAAGAGCTGCACCGATCCCAGAAATATCGACCACATTGCAGTTAAACGAATTGTTGATGTCTATTTATATATTGATTTACGTTACTTCACCTACTAGATACAACGTGGCGTCGCCACCTAACCTAGCGTAAACGCGAATGAAAGGATAACGCCCTAAATCGTCACAATAAATTGAACAGAAAAACTATAACACTGGCGCGTCACCCGATGTCGTGGCGCGGCTCGTCTGACACAATACACTACGATCGAACTAGAACTTCCTTCGTTAATATTATTTGGTTACGCTTTATATCTAGAACTACACTATTTCGCGTTTCTAGCGGAAACGCCGCGAGCGACGCCACCGCATCGGATGCAACTCGTCGACGCCGTTCCGTTTTGGGTAAATTCGTGTTAAATTTAATAGATACAATTATAATAATATACATATACATGTACAATATACGTTCTGATAAAATCCGAAATAACCTTTATTCACATTAACGTAACCTATTTAGAACATGTGTACGCAATAGACTAGATACAAAAAGTTTAGAGTGCACGGTGTTTCGAGATCTCGGAATTTCAAACTAGTCGCTAGAGTGACGTCGGCGCCTCCGACGATTCGAAACCGAACGGGCGTCCAGGGTCAGCGAAGTCGGGCTGTTTGTCGGAGAGGTGATTCGGAACGATCGCGGGTCGAACGACTCTCCGGGGACGGGTGCCCGCCTTCTCGGCGACGCGTCGCGGCTCGTCGAGCTCGCTCTCGACCGTTAAAGCTTGGCTTGTGATTAATGGAATTTGTTATTCGCCTATCTAATAGCGGATAGTTGAGCTCGTCGCGTCCCGCACCTCGGCACCACGCTTACGACTACGACCGTAAAACAATTAGTCACTTAAACTAGACGCGCGCGCCGCCGTCGCCGCCGGGAATAAAGCGTATATCGGTTTAAAACGAACGTAACGTCGGACGGCGGGCGACGGCGGCGCGGAGGCGTCGAACTAAATACGTCAGTCATATCATAGTGTGCACTTCATGATATATTTACATTTCACGATTCTAACGATTAATACGTATTCACATGCGCCTTCACTACGTGCGTCCTATTCTAGTCGTGTCGTGAGGTCGGTTGGGGCGTCAGTGCGTGTACTCCGGGAAGGCGCCGGGGCGGTCACTGGCGGAGCTGCCGGCCGGCGAGGGGTAGTACTCCCGGACCGGCACCGTCTCTTCACTCGCCCACCGGGCTAACTGTTGTTGAGCTTGAATAAATTCATCACTAGAAAATGATAGAGAAGAGGAACGGAGAGCGCGCTCTGCGGCGCCGAACGGGCTCCGAAGTCTATTCCAGCCGAATCGAGATGACGCGTATTTCTCTACCGCTCGGTCGCTAGAAGACTAGTCCATCCATAGAACGGCAATGACTTATATATGTATATATGAAGTGTGAGAATTAAAGTTAAAGATTCAACGCTACATCAATATTTACTTTATGAGCGGGAGCTTCTTGAATTGGAGGAATTTCGCTCGAATGGCAAATATATGAGAGAAAGAGTAATCTCCCTTGATAAAAAAATAATTGTTTGGAAAAAGGAATACCGCAACGAAATTTTGAAAATAAGACCTCGGAGCCCGTTCCCTGCTTGAAAATTTTTAATGTAAAGTGTTTCTGTCAAAGCTGATGTGGAACTCTAATAGGCATGTACATATATGAGCATGTGCAGTAGCTGACTAAAGAACTCAATCATTACTGTTGAAATGTTTTTTTTTCTTTTGTGCAGCTGTATAGCAATATTATAGTGATTGAAGAATACTGTGTGTAGTTTACGCGAGCAGTACACATTTAAATAAAACATTTTAATGGTTTTAAACGCGATATATATTAGTTAAACTATTTGAAAATTATTTTTAACTACGGCCCGACGTTTCGGAGGCTTTGAAGCAGCCGTAGTCACGGGGAGATTAAAGGAAGTCTCTAGCGTCAAAGTAAAAACTGCTACGTTAGCATCATCTGTTCCGTTAAAGCTGGTATTTGGCGAAAATTTTTCAAAATAAGTTTAACTAATATATATATGTATATTGCGTTTTCAACCATTAAAGTGTTTTATTTAAAAAAGTGAGTAAGAAATCACGAAAACGCGTACCTTTCACTATCGGGCGCGTCTCTGAGTCGTTCGGTGTCTGCCGTCTCGTAGAGCGCGTCGTCGTCGGGGGGGACGCGGTGCGGAGCGTGTGCGTGCGGAGCGTGCGGGGCGTGCGGAGCGTGAGCGTGCGCGAGTAAGCCCGGTGCAGGTGCGGGTGCGAACATGCTCCCGTGGTGCCGCCCGCTCCCCCGGAAGCCGCGGTACCCGAACCGCGATTCCTCCTCGCCCGGAGGAAGACGGCCGCGACACCGGCTGTCAGCCGATCGCCTTCACCAATTAAAAATCAATATCGCAAAAATTTTGTGGCGTTTAAATCGCATAATGTGAGCGACTATTCGGAAAGACACCAGGACCCTTCGTTACTGAAATAGTAAGTAGCACTCGGATGCGAAACTGCAAACAGCCTACAGCACGACATGACATGATGCGATTTAAGCTTTATTATTTGTTAGCCTATTTCTAATGGACTATGCTAAAAATAGCGCATGTAAAGCTATTCTGTGATAAAACAGGGTTTTCTTTATTCAATCTATTTTTAAAACCTCACACCATGCATAGGCTGTTATATGGTGGAAATGTATAAAAAAAGAAACATTACAATGTCATAACTCTCGTCGAGTAAGTCGCGCAATGTACTTCTTTAATAAAATTAATTTACTACTCACGGTGGCACATCTTCAATTCTATAATGTCTATCGGGATCGGTTTCTGCCATTCTAATGTCTTCGGAACCAGATGGACTCATGTGCCGACTGGAATGATGCTCCAGTTGCCGAATGAGATCCTCGAGGTTTCTAATACGATATGGTCCACAGGGTCGCTGATCATCCTCTTCTTCTTCTCCTCTCTGTCTTCTCAATTCCGCTTCGTGTATTTTCTCCGCACTGGGAGCCCTCTCCCGTTTGTACTCGTATTCCTGTAAAGCACGCAAGTCTCCGGAACCACCGGCCACGCCAGAACTTGCTCGCTGAGCCGCAGCCGTTTTTAAAGCTTCAATAATGTTTTCATGATAACCATTCAGATCCTGAAATAAATTTGAAAGATGATATGACAATTAAAAAAAACGTGCATGACATGCTCGGTTGCCAGATATCTATAGTACGGTTATAAAAGTTAGTGTGTCTCCTAAAGTATTACTTTAGGCGAACAAAGTCGCGGACATAGCTAGTAATAAAAACATATACTGAGAAGTTTTGTAATGTCTATACCTTAAATTTGTATTCCATATCAGCAACGGCCCCTGAAGGTTCTTGTCCATCAGACTGAGATCCAGCTTCCAAATGCTCAGATTGTGAGTCATCACCCCATTTGTCTTTTCCATCTATAGCACCATAGCCATGTTTCTTCAAAATACCCTTTTCTGGCAGCTTCGACATATTACCTGGGGTAACATCAATGAACGCTATATCTTCTTCACCTGCAATCACCATTATGTAAATTATTTAATACTTTGACTCTCTTGTGACTTTACAGCTGTTTTCATTAAAACAAATACTAATTATTAAAAAATATTTACCAGAGTGAGTCGGTTCATCTTCACTACCTGAATGCACTCGCTTCATCTGTTTGTGATCTCTGAAGAAAACAGAAGATTAATAGTTCTGTCACATAAAAAACAATCCAATAGAGCAATCATGGACTTTGCACATGCAAATGAAACTATAGTGATCGAATTATGTATAATATGACAGAATCTAAAGTTTACAATCTCTAGGGCCTATTTACCGTTTGCAACTACGTCTATGGGGAAGAAACCTCATAATGTATTAAGTTATTTGAAGAACTCGTCCACTTTAAGAGACAGATATAAAATTTGGACTTTGGCAACTCACGGATATCTGCCAGCGGCGCCACCAGACATGTGATTGCCCTGTCTGAAGATAACGCGCTGCGAGTCGCCACGGCTGAGAAATTTGGAATAACTGTACTAATTTGTCGTAATTTATAAAATACTTGGCTCTCACCATTCGATTCGATAGCAGTATGCTATACGTAAAGGCCGATGCTACGATTCTGTATGTGTCGCAGTGGACGTTCAATTCGTAAATCGAGCGAACAGTGTCAACTTGTTTCTAGATCTTACCTACAAGCTACTTAACTATAAAACACCAGTTAGTATATCATTCGGTGAGTGCAGCTTAAGGCCAATTCAACATACCATAAAATTAACTCTAATTAGTGAAAGGAATAAAAAAAGCGTGTCACTGAACGCGTACTGTACGCAGGAGGTAGGTCTACATCACTGCACACCATCGTGATCAGAAGCTGAAAGTTACGCTGATAAGCCGTCGTTAGGCGAGTGTAGAAAGCGATAATCGAATCGTGTAAAGAAAGAGCGGTGGGGCGAAACGACCGCCAAGCGTTGACATACCTTAGGAGGTTTCTGTTTGATCAGCAGATCCGAGAAGAGGAAACAGACTTTTAGTTAGGGGCATGTATCATGGGGTCTAATGTAATGCGCTTTAGAACATCGGTTTACTACGAGACCCATAATGGTATAACTGCACTGGTTGTAACTGTACTGGTCTTCTGAAGCACATCCATTTCAGTGGTGGAAATTAACACTTGGCTAAATAATTATTGTTTTGTTTGCAATTATTTCGTCAGGTGGCAAGTTGCGAAGGGAATGTATTGTATTGAGGAGTGAGTGAGAAAAAACGAATAAAAATCCGAATATAACGGCGAAGGTACGTACCTGAATGTGTTATTGAAGGAGTGTATTTTTCCGGTCTCGAGGGAGATGTCTTCTTGCGAGTTGTTGGAGGTGGTGGATCCGCCGGCGAAGCTCTTGGCGATGGGTTTCTTGACGTAGGGCGGGTCGTATTTCGGCAACGTGCTCTTTTTCCTGGTGCAGGCGTGGCGTGGGAACGCACACTCAGATCAATCGATTACGTTTACAACATCGAGTATTCTTATCGTTACGGAATCGAGAACACCTCCAAGTTGTGATGGGTCAAATTTTGAAAACGATGTTTTCGTTTCCGGTTGGACAATGCGTGTGTATGAACGAAAGATAGCAATCGATTTTCATAAAACTCATTTTAATTTCCATTCGAATTTTTCAAGACAAATGAGAATGTTATAAATATAGATATAAATAGCCCGATAGTTGACTTCGACGTTGATAGCTTTCATTCTGCACTCGATAGCTTAATTTGAGAAGACAGCAATATTAAGCTTTACTGAACAATATTTTAGGCAGCTTTATTAGATAACAGCACATTTAGAAAAACTGGCGCTTTTGGATATTATTAAAGTAATTTTAATCGTTTACAAATTTTAGGACATAATTTAACTTTTCGTTTCATTCCTCATGGGAATTAATGTCATGTGGAAACATAATCAATAGATCGATCTTAACTTAAATGATAAAACTCGTTTCATTAAAACTTAAGTAAAACGCTCTCGAAGGTTGGCAATTAAACGAATAAAGTAACTCTTGTTTAAGTTGGAAATCAGATTGGAAAGTTTTAATGAAGCGATGAAGTTGTTTCCTTAAATACAACATTAGGCGTTTCTAACTAAATAGACAGCTGCTTGAAAGAAGGTTTCGTGCATCGCACATTCGCTGTTCGTGCAAAAGATTTTATAGAGAATTTAGTGACAGTGAATGATTCGTGAAATCAGAGTAGCTATCTAAATCTTCCCGTTTACTCGTGATCATGACAACTACGCGAATGATAAAGATCGGTCAGAGTACGCAGTCTAATGGAGATGTAGGAAGATGTAGATGCGGTCGGGTCGTCGGGTCGCTGTCGGCTTCGCCCGGCGACTCGCTCCGACCAAGAAAGGAAACGAAAACGAGTCACAAGTTCACATAAGCCAATGCACACATCCAAGAGCCCAGAATCTTAAGGGTTTGAATCGAGGTGTCACTCGAGTAGAACGTGGAAAGCCTCGACGGCATGCAGCGAGGCGGCCGGACGGCGACGCCTCGCGCGCGGCGAGTGGCGCGTGCGGTCTGGCTCGGGCCCGGAGCCTAAAAGGGCCGCGGGGGGCGCGGGAGGGGCGCGGGCCGGCCGCCGGCGCGGCGCAACCGCAGAACCACAGATCAAACGCAGTCGGGGACGCGCCACCCGCCAACTAGCTCTACGACCACAAATCAAACGACAAACAACGTCCAAGTAACGAAAAATAATAAATCAATCGTCGACATCGATAAACGGAAACATCAACGCTAACGTCTAATAAACATACAAGTATACGAAGGTGACGGTAAATTTCTCCATAAAGACTACCTTTGGTCTGTTTTCTGCTCACTAACCTTAGGCACAGGGAGAAGTTTTTGTGTACTACGACTGACCTGTAGCAGAGAGCGCTCAGGGCAAATACTATGAATACCCCCCCTACCACAGACATGAGGACCGCCACGAGGAATACCGTGTTTGAGCCGTGGTAGTTCTCTGCGCCCAAAGAGAAGGGTTAGTCACGCGCGGCTCGGCGACATCGCGATCGCCTCGTCTCGCCTCGCGTCGAGGCCGCGGCCCGCCCCGCCGCGACTTGAGTGTCGGCCGGGCGACGAAGGGCATCGCAGCGGCGTCGACGTTCGGGAAGACGGCGCGGACGCGACGGGCGACGCCGACGTAACCGCGGGACCGCTCACATACACGACACGACAGACAGGCACGAGCGACGACATAGCCACAACACCCAGTTACCGGCCGTTACCTGAAGCAGTACGCCATCCAGGCGAAACCCACGAACACGGAGAGCACGACAGCGAGTAACAATACCACCATCATCATCGTGCTCATCTTATTACTGCCGTGTTCACCTGCAAGAGAGGGGTCCCGCGCGTTAGTACGTCGGCGACACCAACGTCGCGCCGCGCCCCGACAGTTCCTATACGTGGCCCTTCATTAAGTAAATAGGACTTCGCAAATTCAGTTATTAATATATTTTTATTCACAGAAAATATAAAGTATATAATAATTTAAATACGAAATTCACGATGAGTCAATAAAATAATAACATTTTTGAATTAGCCAAATTGATTCTATAATTTTCTAATTGTTCAATAATTTTTTTTAATGCGTATAGGAAACTGTTCGGTACAAAACTTTTGGTGAGCAAAGCTCGAATTAAGCCAATTTCACACATAAAACAATACATAAGTAGGGAATTGAAAGACATAAGAAGGCACCTGAAAAGATACAAAGCGAAACATATTAGTGGCTATACAAATAATAAGTACAAAAAACTATATTCGAAGATTCACAGAAGCACACACAAGAAAAGGGGGACATAGTACACATTAAAGAGGGACATAGTAAACTGTAATAATTGTAAAATTTATGACAGATCAACAATTTCTAATTGTTTGAATAAAGCAGTGTCTGTTGGATTAAATTAATTAGACTATGGATAAATCAGTGATCAAGTAGTTTTTCAACAGAAATATCATTTATTATGGTGGTTACGGTTTTAAACTTCTGTGATAACAAATCACAAAAGTTTAAAAAATAATAGAAAGGATATAGAATATACAATCTACAGATTATGCAATTTGTCGCTCTTTACGAGCGCGCCATCTGTTGGCGAACACTATAAACAGACAGCTGAAATTGAAATTACTTTCACACTTCACAGAGCGTGTTCAATATTAACTAGATCTAGAACGGACTCACCATACGGCGTTTCCTTCTTCGTCATGTTGTAGGCTGCTTTAGTTGAGTTTTCCGGAACGTACTGAGTCGGCAGAGGCGGTAGAGCGTCCGGCTGCGAGCAGTCTGGTCCCGTCCAGCCACGATTGCAGACGCACTTGTTCAGGTTGGAGCATAGCTGGAAAATGACAGTGATAGTTTGAGAACATGGTTTAGGAAGTCCTGTTGTTTTGCCAGAGAAAAATGGAGAATATTATTTTAATATCAACATAGCTAAATACTGTCTATAGTTAACGCGACTACGCCTGCTGCAAAGCATCCGAAACGTCGGGCCGAAGTTAAAAATAATTTTCAAACAAGTTTAACTAATATATCGCGTTTTAAACCGTTAAAGTGTTTTATTTAAATCAATATAGCTTATCCATAATGTATAGGTATATATGTAAAGTATAAAAAAAGTAATAATAGGTTAATAATTATAAGTGATGTTGTTGGAATTTTAAAAACTTTCGAGACTTTGTAAAGCTTAGACGAAGACTTCATTTTGTCAGGGAATATTTAACAGTTTCTTCTTAATTACGACTAAGTGAAAGCCTAAATATCATTGTGAGTAGTTAATCAGTAATCATCAATCATCAGTGGCTGTACAGCCCCTTATGGGCCCTAGCCTCCTCTAGTCGTTTCCGCCATTGCGATCTGTCTTGTGCTTCCTGCTTCCAGTTTTGGACGCCCAAGATTTCCAGGTCCTTAGCAACTCCATCCCACCAGCGGAGCCTTGGTCTCCCGGGCTTTCGTTTACCACCTAGTTGCGAGTTCAGCAAGAACCTTGGTACTTTTTCATCCGCCAAACACCGTCAACACAGACGGGTCCAAAGATCCTTCTGAGTATCTTTCGCTCAAAGATTAGGAGAGCTCGTTCGTCTCTCTTGCTTAGTGCTCAGGTTTCGGAGGCGTAAGATAAGCTTGGTTTACTGAGCCAGAAGTAACAACGGTTAGCTAGCATGTTACGTGTGCCGATTTCTTTGCTGGGATCATTATCGCTTGTCACCATTGAACCCAGGTGAATAAACTCCTCACATCTCTCGAAGTATCCGTTTTCAATGCTGTTGGTTAATCAGCTATATAGCAGCAGCAATAAAGATATATATCATTGTTAATCGCGTTATCTGATTATGTAAATTTAGAAAAAATACCAATAAGACAAATAATTAGATTTTTTAGGAAACAACAAAATTTTCTATTAGAAGCTGGCACAACAAATACATTACACGTTAAAAAACTTCATATCTTCGACGACGATCCGTACTGCTGCTGTAACTAATGACTAGTAGCTCAATTATTTAAAGAAGCTACACGGGTCACTATAGTTGCCGGTCGAAGTCTCGTTTCATGTTTTTTTTTTCATCTAAATCGATTTTTAATTTATATAATGCCATCATGGAAACAATTATGTTTTAAAGACGTTACAATACTACTACTAATATTATAAACGTGAAAGTTTGTATGTGTGGATGGATATTTGTTACTTTTTCACGCAAAAACTACCGAATGGATTTCAATTAAACTTTCCAATAATATAGCTAATACATCAGAATAACACATAGGCTACAATTTATAAAGATATTGTGTGACCTGTTCAAAATATGACATTAAATGTCAAGTAACTAGAAGAAAAACGTACCTGTCTGTGAGCTATTCTGGCGTGCGCTGTCATAAACGTTAGTTACTTATAATTATGTTAATGTGTGATATGATAGACATATTAATTTAGTTTAAATGCGCGATACTATGTAATCCTCATCCCAATTCTGCGTAAATGAAGTCGCGGGCACCAGATAGTGAGAAATAAAGTTGGATACACGTCAACGGAACGGTTAAGATGAAATACAATTCGCATTTCGGAGCGGGTCCTCGCACTCGCGGAGAATACGTAAACGTACAATCTTTGCGGGCCCGAGTTGAACATGTTATTTTGTGAGATTTAAAAAAGTTTCGTGCAACTTAAATTGTTCAGTGCCTCGCGCCTCGCGGGGAAATTATTATCCTCAGGTGAACAGGTGTCGGCGAGTTTAGGAAAGTTATAATAACGTCTATTTGGGTACGCCTCAACGGTATTTAATGTTTTGACTCGTGGATTTCGCGCGCGGGTTGCGTCGACACGTTGGAATTCGAAATGCGACACTCTTTACAGTGTTTGTAAAATCGACAAACTGGAGAAAAGGAAAAAGATACTTTCAGACATCTATCTTTATAGTTAAGTACAGAATTCGAAAAGCCTCGTTCTTAATACCTTAAAAAATATATCATCGATTCATATTCGGAATTACTTTCTAGGTATCAGTCATTCCTCTAATTCAAAACGACGTTTAACTAGACATCCTTAATATATACATATAACATACAAATAACGTTAAAAAAATCTAGACTCTCATCAGAATGTCGCGTCACAATGTCTGACCGAAAATTCGTACGAAGGAAAGAGAGATCATGAAAAAAATTAACATGATTGTGAATTTTATATAACCATCTTACACTATCAAAAATACACAACGTTAATATTATTAAAGTTTTTAATTTTGCTTTTAAATGTCTGTTTCTTTTTCCGCCATGTAGACGCTGATCAACGATGTGGTACAGAAAAAACGTAGTAAAAAATGATTTTCCACCCGTTAATCAAAATTAATCCCGTCAAAACAGCGACACTCGTCACAGGTCCCCAACTTACCTGGATTATCTAAGTTCGGAATAGGAGTTCATTCAGTATGCGTTAACAAGTTCAACCAAGCAATCTGACGGAGCTGAATGCAAGCCAACAATATGGTTGGGTTTATAGATATATCATTGGGAAAGGGAGGAAGTTGATTGTTATTTTAAAATATACAGACACGGATACATCATCAGTCATGTTTTTTCAACCCATTGAATCGAGTCTCTCACGCATTTTATTTTCGACCTTTTACTTATAAGTTATTAAGTATTAAACGAAAGATAGAAGTATTTTGAATTTCTTGTGATGATATAAATTTTTCTATAATAAATGACTACAAGAGAGGTTTAACAACGCTAAACTGGTTCTGATAAAAAAATCCTGAATTATAATTCTTACATTACAACATATTATTTTGCAACACTCAAACTTAACGTTTGTAATTTTATCTTTAATCATATTTAAGCTTTGAGAAAAAGATATTCGACACGCCTAGAGAATGTATTTTTTAAGGTCGATATACATAACTATAAATATTGCTTCATAATTAATAAATCTGGTAATTTTCGTTGTCAGTTGCAAGTTTAATCCCGCTTGGGTCAATAGTTTTTGTTTATTACTTAAACACGAAGTTTCGCAGTATAATAATTATGAACACAAAGCATATTAGCTCCATGTGCTAACTAGTATATTTGTTCGTGCGCATTAACATTTCTGTCCTGACTCCACTAAACACGCTCACTGCAATTACCAACTTCTGTTTCGCACGGATATGTCACTCCTGGATGAGCCTCTAAGGGAACTTCGGTCCCGACTTGGGAGTTTGTTAGCGAGTTCCGCTCAATGTAAATGCGAGGAATGTAAGAGTGCACCTTGATTGCGCGAAGGTCTACGTACAGTTGGCGAACAAATAATGACTTCAATTGTAGTCTTGAACAAAAGTACCAAAGGTTAAAGGATTATTGTAATGAAATGTTTGCTGTAGAATATAAGGTATTTTTTCAACATTAACTTAAATGTATAGTTTACACACAGTAATTACAGTTTGGATTTACGTTTCTTTGGGTTCCCTACTCGAAATCGCTTACTTTTTATAATCTTGATGGTAGGTGAAATATCCCACCCATATAACATCCAATCAAAGTGCCTTATTCCCGTCTTGAATTTGGAAATTCGGAAGTCCAAAGACTGTAACCGAAACGCGATTAAAGTTAACGGCTTTTGCATCTGTTGACCGTGATGTGACTTGTATAGAATTGGAATTACGATATTATAAACTCCAGATTTCCAGCCGATGTCCAACATATTTCAGAAAAAACAAATTAATTAGAAAATTGTTAGACCGAACCCACGATTCGTTGATTATTAGCCAATCGTCGTTACCATTACACCGGCAAGCCCGTCGTTATATGTTATTTATATAATTCCTCATTCTGTAAGTAACGATACCATACGAAAACCGAGAAGGTGTGGGATAACATGTAGTCCGCGGTATCAAAAACGTAAGTCATCCAGTACCTATACATCGACGCAGTTGAATAACTACGTTGACCGAGGCGCAGAGCAATTCGATTTGCCACCGCCCTCTGCATAGCTGGCGTAGGGGATTCTATTATCTCTAAACTGATAACATTGATGTCGTGGATTTACGGGGACCGGCAGCCACAGATGCCATTTCAAGAATTCCGCTTCACGCGAAAACGTCACATCACTATCGCATACGTGTGACGATGAATATTTATCGCTGTTCCTTCGTCATCATTTTATAATGTCATCGTTCATTATGACTACTAAAAGATTGACTTAGTCTTTTTCAACAGAGAACAGACAACCATGGGCTTTTATGGATGGAAGGTGACATACCGTAGCCATATAACATGTGACTATTATAACCATTACAATATCCAATTTCTATGTTTTTTTTTGCTATTGAAGAATTAAAGATGGAAAATAAATTGAAAAAAATTCTCGACTGAGGCTTTTGCTCTACCAATTGAGCTTCCGAGTCAATCAATCAATGGAAAATGGTAGAGCAACAGCACGGAACGCTGACGATTCCGGTTAAGTCCTGCCCGAGTCGAGAATTTTCAATTTATTTGAGATTTTTTAATTGTATAGTGCCAGCATGTGAAAAATATTTAAGTTTTCAAAGAATTAAAAATGGCCGAAGAAAAACTTGAAAATCAGAGGCCAATTGTAGACGCCATTTTTTTTTAATTAATTAAAGATCTCAAGTTTAATTTCTTAAAAAAAACAATAATCGATATTTTTTCTACACTTTTCACTACACTTCATAATCTATACTATTATCCAATAAAAGAATCGTCATTAATTACCAGCTGTACAATATAATTAGTTACAAGGTGACACTGAATGTCTTAACTTGCAACGATAACTAAAATTTCAATAAATCACAAACTCGCACCAATTAGAAATCGGAGTGGTAGCTTCTACTTAGCGGCAGACAATTCGGGCGAGATATCGTTTGCGAGCAAAATCTAAACAATAGTGTATGGAACATAACCCCCGGGAAAGTTTAGCCGGCCGTTTCTAATTCAGTACGAGGTGCTAATTACCGGGATACCGACGGTAACTTTGTGTGGTCCAAGTGAAACAAGAAAATAATTCTCACACATTACATATATTTATTCATTCATTTTTAAATCTAATGAGAGTGTTGGGTTAGTTAGTAATGATTTGGATGCGTTCTTTAGTACGAATTAAATACGAATGAGTCTAAGGGAAGTAAACGATACCGTTTACTTCCCTTAGACTCTGAGTAAATGAGTTGTATCAATGATCTCTGAGTAAATGAATTTACTTTGTCAAACTAATAACAAAGGTGACAAAAATAAGGAATCTATAAATTCATAGTTAATAAGCACAGCAGCAGTAATCGATACTAAAAATGAAGTCGATGAATGTTTTACGCGCGTTAACTACAAACTATGAATATTATTTTATATCGTTTTATGCTGAGTGTTTCTAACAAGGGTTGTGTAAAGAATAGGTTTAAATTGGACCTGCCCCGGCACACTCGGCACAAGTTATAATTAACGTCCGAACCGAATTCAGGAGGTCGATTTAATGTTATTAAATTATAAGTTAGCCGGTATTGTGCGCGACTTGACGTTACTCTAATTTTATTTCCATTTCACAAGTAAAGTGAACTTGTTAAAAGTTATAATTGTTGTCAACTGCATTTTAATGAATGTCCACGTTGAAGGTGTTTAATGAATTGCTACTGGAGTTATTACAGACTGCGCTTATATAGGTAGACTTTTTGTACCTTTTTAACGATACTGTAACCTATACTATCTTTGCTCCTTACGGAAAATCTTTCTTTATCCCTACGTCAAGAACACCTCTGAATTCTGATGCTCTACTGACGCTTTAGGATCTGCCCTGCTTTGTCTATATGATTGTGATATGCATATATGTGTTTTAGTTATTTATATATAAAACGCTTTCTATTTTTAAATAGAGCAAGTATTTATTATTAAGAACTACCTGTGCCCGCGACTGCGTCCGCGTGGAATAGTGACTTTGGATAGAATTTTCAATTATTTAGGCTGTTTATTTATTTATTTATATAAGGGCGCATTTAAGGCAGCCAATCTATGTTGTAAGTGCTACTTTGCCGCAACACTCTCACCTCACTCCTACTCCAACTCCCACACTCACTCTCACTACCACTCCCACTCCCATTCCCAAAAAACCCAAGGAAGAAGAAGAAGTATGCCTATGTCCTTTCTCATGCTCTAAAATATCTGTGTAGCAAATTTCATTTAAATCAGTTTAGTAGTTTCAGAGTTAAAGCTGGACAGACAGACAGACAGACATTTCATAACTAATTAGGTGCTCATATTGTCTCGTGCTTCGGATTCTTTTAATTGCAGTCAAGTTCATAAACGAATTTGTACTCTTTTTTAAAGCTATATATAAATGTTTTCTAGGTATTCAAATCAGGACCTGTTATGCCAAACGAAAGGCAAGACGTGCGTCATATGATGTAAGTGAATATGCTAATTTACATCTATTAAATAAAATTTAAAAAATATATTAATCAAACACTTACCCCTCTTCCAGAACATTCGTGGTTGTTGTGATCCGTGGGGCATTTGGTGTGGTCGATAAAGGGGAAGATAGAGGTGCAAGTCTGGTTGACGCAGATGAGGTTGTCTCCGCATGGCGTACCATCTCGCACCAGCCCCAACGGACCGACTTCGTCGTGTTCCGGAAGACCCGTGGTTGCCCTGAAAATATTTATGTCTCTAATTGTATAACAATAATTTAAAAATTTCCAAAATTTATACATAACAAATTTTTATTTCAGTTCACTCAATTTACAGTCCAGTTAGTACACATGAATCTATAAGTACAGTTATAAATTTCGTAAATGTGATTTGTGAACAAACATACCTATAGTCAATATTATCTTTAACTAGTGACTATTTTATTTTTCTTTTGGTTTTATAAAATTTAAAATGGCAATGTACCTTCTTGCATTTTATGGCACCAAAAAATTGTCTTCAAGGATATAGAGTTTTGTTTTTTCCCAAAATACTTTGTGTATGACGAAGCGTAGTCGGATAGCCCTGACCGTGAGGGTTCTTACATGGTAGCATTCTCAAAATAAACGGCCCTTCGTACGGTACCTAGGACTATTAAGATTGTCCAAACCAAATTAACACAAAATACGCAAAGATAGAATCGATCCAAACGGATTACCTTTGAAAACGCAGTACGTCCGATACATCTGTAATAACCTATTTTGTGATCACTCGGAATCCGTCATAACCACTTTACCATTCGAACCAGAGGGTGGTGAGCCAAATATTTTAAATAAACAAGTCGTCAATAACAGTCTGTCACCTCTGAATGACAGTTATTCAAACGTCAGTGCCACCATATCTAACACTCAAGTCATAAATGTTATCTGACGTTTGCGCATATCTATTATAGGCGCGAAAACAAAATATCCGTTCGATTGAGTAAAGGTAAACGACTTGATTTGTATTTGCTTTTTATCATTGATATTTGCTTTGCCTCTAATTGTAAGTCTAGTGTTGTTTCTGAATTCTTATAATTATACAATACAGTTACATACGTCACGAGAGAGGAGCATATATTTATTACTGACTGTTTATTATACACATATAATAAACAGTCCGTCAGTTTATTTGTCGTACTGCACTTACTTGCAGTCATACTCGTTTCCCTTGATGGTGATAACAGTTCTCGTGTAATACTCGTCCATTCCGGGAACAATCGGATATCTATTCCCCAGCTGGCATTGTAGGGATCCGCAACGGACGTTTCTGGAAATTTCGGCACACGGTTTAGGGACACACTAAATGTAGGTGATATATTCATATTATCATTTGGTTTCAACGCAAATTAGTAATACACTACGTAACAAAGATTACGGTAACATTATATTTTATATAAAAACTGAAATGGGTGGAAAACACATATAAACTTGGGATTTGTAAAAGCGTCCACAGCCTTCCCTGCTGTTGTTCTAACCAATTGAACTACCGTCATTCTCGATTTTATTCAACTTGATTGATACGTGCACCTCTCACACAATGTAAATTCAACCTCAACACTTTCGGATTAAGGTTCAACGTCTTATGCTTCGAAACTTAAGAAAATTATTGAAGACGGAAGAACGAAGAAACGTTCAACGTTTGAAAATATTAATTATTTTTCACATATCATTGCACATGATGACACTATGTAAATTTAATTTATACGTATTTTTTTTAGTGCCCTCATGTGCAATAACATGTGAGACATATTCAAACACTTATTAGTTAAAAATTTTGCATATGAATCCATATGGAATGCATGCAAGCTGGCATGGAAATATTAGTATCTTAATAGCACGGGTAACGCCGCGAAAAACTGTTAGTTATGTACAATAAATAACTAAACTCACTCCATATCACACTTAATGTAATTCCCATTATTGTCCTTTCCGCAGTGTCCTGTGACAGCGCCCTTAGAATTAAACTGCTCGAAGCACTCCTTGTCTGCCCCAATGGTTCCTGGTCCCCATATCTTTTCACATTGTAGAGAGAGGGTCGGGCACTGTCCGGCAAAGCAGTAACCTTTCCCCGCTTCGCATGCTTCGCCGTTTTTCTTGTACGAGTCTGGGGGGCAGGCGCCGGACAAGCCAGTGCAGGTCTCCTCTAGATCGCATTCGTTTGTTGAGTCTCGGCAGACGACACCTCGTGGTTTTAACTGAAGGATAATAGCCATGAGTACTTTGAATGCAAAAGGTAAAAAGTAATCCCAGCGACTTCGCCCATGTATAATTGTAATTTGGTTAGACAAAATTTGATTTTTGTAAACGTTTTTCCTTATCGTTATAATTTATAGTTGTTACCCACGACGTCGGTCGCATCCCGTCTTTCTTCCAAGTTAATCTTAAAAGATTGGCATATACTGTCGCGGACATTTTTTTTTTGATAATTTAAAGAGGAATCATTTTTTTATACATGGGCACGTTTTTTCTATATTTCCCACTACATCTTTGCATCTACTGGTCGCATCGTTATGTTTTATAGTCTAAAGCCTCGATAAATTTTCTAACCAACACAGGAAAACAAATCAATTCGAACTAGAAGTTCCTGAGATTAGCGCTTTCAAATAAACAAACAAACGAACTTCAACTTTACATATTCGTATAGATATGGGTTATATGCAGCTTATTTATTTTATCTTACTAAATTGCTTGTTATACCCGCAACAATTTTTTTACAAAAAACTAATTCAAGCCTTGGAAGACGGAACCCGAAGAACATTAAGACCTAGTATTTTCGTTCTCGATTTAGATAAATATTCAGTGTATGACGTCACCTGGCACCGTTCGCAGCACTCGCCAGCCGCGCACTGAGCCTCCTTCGTAAGGCGACACGTGAACGGATCACAGCACGGGTTCATGTTCTGGCAGTCAGCGATGGTTCCACAGTCGCACTCTTCACCTTCATCCAGTCGCCCATTGCCACATTGACGATGCACCACCAACTGGATGTAGCATGGATTTAAGTTGATAAAAATGCAAATAAGATGCTTTGTCGGCATTTGACTTTGGTCATTTTGAAAACCACAGATTAAAAAACTTTACGGGTTTACGGTTGTTCGTAATCCGGACAGTGTTCCGATGTTCATACTGCTTATTTAATATTCAGATTTTTTAGATCTTTTTTTTCCATCAAACCCACGACCCGTAGAGCCATTGACGCCACTAGACCACTGTAGCAAAGTGGATCAAATTCAGGGAGATAACTCCTAACTATGACTTAAGATTTACTTCGAAATAAACTTAAATGTAATGCTGTAAATATATTGATTACTCATATACAATCAATCATATAGCATACATGTCATCATATTTGTTTTTTTTGTCACAGTTGCTTCTTAATAAACATTATTTTTTTACAAGTATTTTTACGTATTGATTTGACTTTAATTAATAGTAATTAATTAAAGTTTTATTGCACTTGCTAGTTCTTTGCGTAAATTTGAATATTTTTGTGCACGATAGATTTTCCATTCGAAAAGATAATGAGCAAAGTAGCTAACGCAGTTCGTTGGCATTTATTTGTACTAATGAGGCTTCGTTCAAGATTAATCCCGTTAAAATTTAACAACCATTTCGGAGCTTTGTTCTAAAAATAGTCTTATCATTTGCAAATCACCCTTCGGTTGACATTTAAATGAGATATTTATCTTTGGCCTTTTCGTTAATGAACTGTTTGAAAAACAAATCGATGGGATTATTTAAGTCAAAACGTTTAATTGGTTCATAGCAGGGGATATCGCATAGCTATATCAGCTCTTGATAATAATATTTCCATTCAAAGAAATTAAGTTTTTAAAATAAAACCCGACGACGCAATAGCTGGAAAACGTGAATCACCTCTCTTTATTTCGCAAGAACATTCATTTGATACTAAACACAGATGGGGCACGAACCCAAGACTACGACTGTTAGTTACTAGCTACTAGCACTGAGCTACAGTGCTATCATCATCAAATATTCTTTAAGATAAGAAAAAAAAAGAATATTTCAATTTTACTTGGGTTTAAATTTAAATGTTACTCGCACCAATTTTCCGAGTCGTTTAACACTTCTATTATTAATATTAACACAGTATTTTTAGCCCTAGTGAAACGTACTCCACCGACAAAATCATTAATCTTTCTTTTAGCTTCAGCGTTGGGTAAAAAGTGCTTTACAAATTGAATCCGCCGATCGCGTCTAAGAGAAACTAGACTGATATCGCATTTGCATCAAAACTGTTGAGCGAAAAATATTGCTGACACAGCCGAATCGCGGGTTCGAGCGGCAAGTACAATAGAGAGAATAAAACTCGCTCGTCGATAAATATGTAAACGTAAAATCGAAGTGGTGGCTCCGGTGGCATTATCATTCCGTGCTATGTAAATTTATTCCAATAAACTCCGGACCGACGCCGCTGTTATTATATATTCGCAAACGAAGAGATAATTCTGAACGCGGCCAGCTGGCATTACCATAACTTTTATTAACGTGGAGCCTTGTAAGAGCCAGCCGACAAACAATGCGGTGCTGATTAATTTCCTACGTAGGAATTTTGAATTAAGCCTGCGTCGGAAGCGCACGAAAGAGTGGAAAGTTCGTCGCGATCCCGAAGTTGAAGGTGTCTCGAGTTTAAACTAATAATTGTAAACGACTCCGGGTGTAATTGACTCAGCCGAAGTTTTCAGGTGTTGCAAAACAGATGAAACTAATTTAATTACGTTTCGTTCGGGTTGATTTGAATGCAAGTTTAGCGGGAATAATATTTACATTTCGTGATAATACATTTAAGATACACGAACACTATACGCCTGTAATTGAACATTTTCAATTCCTCTCTACTGAAATATAACTAACACAGTAAATATTACTAAATAGTAAATGTATATGTCAAAGAAGTACTTTTGTTCTTGTATTGAAGGCTAATACTTTGGTAGACAAGGCATCACCAAGTTATGAAAACAAGTAATGGAAGCCCCTATTTTGTGGCTTATGCTGATTTCAAACTTCAAGTTTAGGCAGTTAGTGCTAAAGCTAAACACGTTTTAATACAGTGAACATACCTCGTTCGGTTTGTTAAGTAAGCACAGCCCCTGTCCTACTCTAAGTTCGTTGATGTAGTCGTTTTTGGAACAGTCTGAGAACTTGTACGGCTGAACGTTCTCTAGACCCACTATTGACTGTGACATGATGCAGCCGTGCCAATCACGACAAAAGCATTGTTCACGGCCGTCGTCGTGACCCATTCCTGAAAAAAATAAGACTTAGAAAAAAATCAAAACAAACATTTATGTTACTATAATTTCGATTGAAATAGGTGGCAAAATTTAATACGAGTTGTTAAATTAAGGGCGTAGAATGGACGGCCAGTACTAGGCAACGAAATTTCACATTAAAGTTTTTTTAACCTCGATGGTTTTAATTCCAATTTATTGAACGAGTAAAATAGTTATTTTTAAATTTAGAAGCATTAAAACTGGTTATAATGCTAAAACTAATTGGCCGTATTGAATCGCAGTTTGAAAATAAAACGTTCAGCTTTTTCACTCGTATCAAATCAATAAACATTAAAATTTGTATTCATTTCCGCCTATGATAGATCAAAACCAGATCAACGCGAATAACCTAATTTGTTTGCTTTGTCAATATAAAGGTCAAATTCAATCCAATCATAATTAATATTGGATATTTCGCTTTTGTAATGGGCTTTTAGGAGCTATTTGAATGAATATAGGCACTAAAACTCATTATTTTTAAAGATGATTTGATTTGATATTTTCTGTTCTTTTTCATTTTAATTTCTTTTACGATAGAGGAAGCCAGGCAGCAAGGCGCTTACTTGATAGTAGATGAAACACCCCCATATAAAATCTAAACAACGTGTGCTGTCGATCCACATAATTAATAAATTCTTTTTAAATGAAGTTGCAACGTATTTTTACGTACTGTGGTAGGTAGATATAATGATCTGGTAATGTCTGTATTTTTTTTATAATAGCGAAGGATGGACAAACACAAGGTTCTTGTTGATGCTTCACTTGGTAGTGCGTGATATACCCTTTTTTTAACTGATGGTGTGAATGCGTAATCCACGCCCACGTCGGGCAATAGTAATTAGTGGAGTAGAATCACTAAAAACAGAATAATAACTAATTAACTGAACTAAATAAACACCGCCACGGTGCTTTCGAGGGAGTCCTGGGAACACGTTTGTACAACTTGCATACTCTAACGTTGTTAGAGTATGCAAAGCAGCCTACCGGAGTCTGGGATTTGGGCTGAGACAGGCGAGGGACTTCACTAGCATGCCAACCGTGAGAGTGCTGTATGATGCACTAGTTAGAAGCCATTTGGAACATAATGCTACAATATGGGCACCTCACGAAGAAAAATACTGTGCTATGTTGGAAAAAATCCAAAACAAATTTGTAAGGCATTTGTATTTTAAAATGTACGGAATTTATCCATATTATCCTCTTATGTACCCGACACTCTTTGTGCTGGGAATGGTGGGCTATAATAAGTTGAGAGTAAGAAGGGATTTTGCTCTAGCTACTTATATCATTAAATTATTAAGAGGGAAAGTATGCAACATCGGCGTCCTAAGCAGGTTAAGCATAAACGTGCCTGACTGCTATAGGGACAAAAGACACGCGCCACCTCTTCTCGTGGTGCCTTTTGCTAGAACGAACTTAATGGCAAAGGCACAATGGACGAGGACGGTCGAGGTCCTAAATGTTTTGCACAAAAAAGCAGATATTTTTTACAGTCCTTGGGGTGAACTCACAAATACATTAAAGTTTATTTTGAGTTATGAACGATAGTTTGGTTTAAGTTCATATATATTTGTTCTATCATATATAATTATATTGTTTAGTTTTTAGATCTCTGTCGCATTGGGATCCAACCTGTTATGACAGTGCATATATGTAAATAAATGTAAATAAATAAATAAATAAACTTCAAAAACGTGGAATACCCTAGTAATTTAATATTAAAACAAGATGCGATGTCAACCACACACAGCTATCTGATCTACTAAATAATCTGCAGTTACCAATGTTGTGTCCGATCATATGAGCCATGGTGGCCGCCAGAATGTGTGGTTCATATGTGTTGTAGTCCACCGAGATCCCGACTGACTTCGGGGTGCACATCGTATCCGGGACTGATATTCCAGATTCTCCCCCAGGAAACATCTGCCCACTGAAACCAAAGTATATTATTTGTATTGAATTAATAACGCGCCTACGCGAGTGGTACACATTTAAATTAAACACATTTAACGACTTAAAACTCGAATTGTATTCGTTAACAAAAATACCCATTATATATCGCTACACAAGTATTGTTTGTAGTTTACGCGAGTAGTGCTAAAAAAACAATTTTAACGATCTAAAACGCGAAATGTATTCGTTAACGTCAATGACCATAATATACCACTGCACAAGTATTGTCTGTAGTTTGCCTGAGCAGTATACATTTAAATAAAACACGTTTAACGGTGTAAAACGCGAAATGTTAACATGAATAACTATAATATGTATTTACGGGTCTCTCGTGACCACGGTTGCTGCAAAGCATCCGAAACGTAGAGTCGTTGTAAAAATATATTTTAAATAAGTTAAATAACACATTTCTATTTTGAACCTTTAAGTGTTTTATTTAAATCACAGCTAGTCTTGTTATCTTGGAAAATGTTAGCGTTCTTTACATATATCTCATTTCTTTACCATAAATCAGCGTATGTGAAAGTGACACATTTAGGATGTCCCGCAATAGTAACAAAGAATAGATTTTGTACAACAACTGACAGATAGTAGCGTGTGTTAGCTATCCATAGGGTTGAGTGTGTCTTGACGTATTCTCCGTGTTTCTCGTGATATTGCTCTGTACGATCTTGTATCTGCTCGAGTGATTTAATACAAAATGTAGGCCTTTGTAGATTGAATGGCAGGACGGCTCATATTTTATCAAGACGAAGCTTCTCCATCTTACGTATTTTCAAACTATATAAATTAAATTCGATTTTAAATTGAAAAACATTTACGACACGGGCATCTCTTGAACCGGCATCCACAGCGTTCGGTGTCCTTGCCGTTACATATACATTTTATTAAAATTTAGCTACCGTGTCCTACACGTCATCGTCGAATTTTCCAACCTATTGATTACTTGTACCTCTCGCATTGTAATTTCAACCTTAACATTGCGCATTAAGGTTTAATGTCTTAGGCTTTGCAACTTTGTCCTGCCTGCGTCGTATTTTTTTTCAATGTAAAATCGATTTTTAATTTGTCTAGCCATCATGTGTTATAAAAAATTGAAAATATTAAAGTTTTCAAATTTTTAACTACTTTTTAAATCTGTCATTTTCATTGTGGTGACAAAATACTAAGTAAACGTAGAATAATAAAAATGTGAAACTTATAAGGCTTTAAAACTATAGAACTTCGCTGCGGTCTAAATAAGACATCTTCCGAAAACGGCTGAAATAAACCCCTGAAAAGAAGTGGGCAGCGGAAGCGAGAGTACCTAACAATGCTGCGATGTGCTCCACAAAAGCTTACTTGCAGCCGAATATTCGCCGAGTTAGCTATTTAGTGCTTCTACTAAGAAATACAAACACTAAAGATTTCACAGCATTTGGACGAGCAAAAGCTTGGACTCCATCCGTTTTCTTTTTACGTACGACGTTCTTATTTATTTGAAAAATATTCAGCCACGACCCTTTTTATAACTTTACAAACTTTTAAAATACATGATAATTATACGAATATCGTACAATTTAAACACAAACTAAGCTGAGACAAGATCAAACTTTAAACTTTACACATCTGTCGTTATTTAACTTTACTAAAAAGTTGAAAATAGAATGAGCGATTTTTTTTTTCTGAAACAAACGACTACGGTCAACATGTTTTTTTGTGGTCTCGAACAACGAATAGCTACGTTAAATACGGCACTGTACTTTAATGAAACAAGTGTTCACAAAGTAGCGTGCTTACCGTTTCTCTCCAAATACGTACGACCTGCAAATATTTCGAAACACGTGCATTTTGAATTTATTCTTGCCAACGTTCAACTTGTGAAGTTTTAATGCATTATGATTCTCTTTTGATGCTCTTTCGTATTTATATTTAATTTATGCTACGATGACGTGTTTACTTTTTAGGGAACTTTTATTAATTTTTATGAATCAAATTCGATCTATTCAGTCGTTTATGTCACCAATCCGTGCTGGAATAGCGGGGTGGGTCTGAGTTCACAGTTTCATTCAGAGGTTGAAATGATATATGCTGCTAGAGGCAGAGGGTATTTTTATAGTCTAAAAATGTAAATCTACAAGAGCACTGTGACCGAAAATTGTTAATATAACTCTTACACAAATAATAGTACAAATTCATTTTCGCCTAAGTTAATTGCTGGTTTTTACTTTTCTTATTGAAAATCATGTTTTTGTTATAGGCCACTTTACTTTTACTAGCGTCATATATCGACTAGAGTTCTTAAACAGTAGGTATAGATCAATTTTAACGAACACATCAAGATAGATGTAGCACGGACAATACTCGGCGGACATCCGGTCATAATTTACTATGTCAACGGAGCTAGATTGCAACGTTACACGCTGAGCCAATATTCGTTTCTGCAATATTTGAATTGATTTATCAGCCTTACTCTTGGAACAAATCAACCGTGAAATTGTGGAACGTTAGATATGGTTACGCGATATATATCTTACGTCTTAGGTGATAAACTTCATAGAGTTTTTAAACTTTTCTCATTCTGCGATCGTTTTCTATTTGAGTTATACAAGCACAAAATGAAATAGTCCTCGTAGCAAGATGTGTTATCTACCTATATCCGAAATCCAAAGACTGAAATTGACCCGGACGAAATTTAGTTTTATTCCTACCATTCCATATTCAGAATTTCTAGATGAAGTCAAAGACATGTTTTAGTAAAATTATAAATTGATTTGTAGAAACATGTTGGATCTTGGTGGGTATCAAACCTCCGACCCTTTGATTATCAGCCATTCATTGATCACAGCCATCACTACCATTAGATCGATAATATATTTAGTATTGAGTATTTTAAAGCGCTTTGAAAATTCTCCCATGTCGATTGTGAGGGTAGATCGTCAATCGGACATTTGTATAGACAGGCACGAATATGTGCAAACAGCGATTGTATCCGAGTCAATGTTCAGCAGGATGACGTCACAGTTTGCGGTGGGCAACGATGCGTGCTGCAGCTAACCGGCTGTGTCTCTGTGTACGTTTGTGTTGGCCTACCGCGCTGTGCTAATAACGCTGTCTTGTCCAATCACGGGCTAAAATATTGCAAGCTGTTACCGTTTCGGTTATTGTTACATGACTATCATACAGTGTTTTGTTCCTATAGGAATGGTGTATACCTATATGCTCCATATTTACGTTATATATAGTCCAGTCAAATTAGTGCTTTAAATAGAGTCAAATTGCATTAATTCTCACAGAGCTAAAAATAAGTATGATAGTTCAGAATACTATTATAAATACATTGTGAAAACTTCCCATTCTCTATAAAAAATGACTACGAATATACGATTTTTTTTTCAATTCTTAAACCTAAAAGTCTAATTTCACTGGACTAAGAATACTGTATGTAGTTTACGCGAGTAGTATCGCGTTTTAAACCGTTAAAGTTTTTAAATAGACTATGTATGTTACTTTATATAATATATGCCTACATACTTAAATAATAAGTTGTTAGCTATAAGCATTTACTTGAATGTAATCAATAGATTTAAATTTTTCATATTTTCAGTTTAAAATATATGTCTTTGACGGTAAAGCTTGAAATGTAACATTTGTGTAATAAGTTAACAATTACGTAGCTCCCTTAAATTACTTTTGACGGCCACGTGGGCTCAACATTTAACAATTAGTATTGTTTTAAGCAAGGGAGTCTGGGTTTTAAACTTAGGGAATTAATACATTGTTGCGGTAGTGCACAAAAATCGTACGAACTATTAGACTGTAAATAAAATCTATCAGAAATATGTTCGCCCCATGCCTCTTAGGCGACAACGTGAACTTTATTTAATAAATTTAATGCTGCATCTGTTAAAATACAATAGATAATATAAAGTTAGGAGAGATTTGATAGTGTTTTTGGAATTAAAAAACCAAACGAAAGCATTATATTAAAAAACCCGACTTACGATAGTAGTTGAGTGGTGTCCTTCTCAATTTTGTAGAGTTTTCTTGCGGTATAATCACTGAACTTCTGTATGGCGCGTGTGATGTCGTACTTCCGGTCCAGGTCTGCTTGATCCGCACTCTGCCATGACTCGATGTAGACAACTGACACTCTCGTGTTGAGCGTACGAAAATACTGTTGACAAAAGTGATCTAAATGAGTATTCAGAAAATAAAGAAACGATATAACGTAAACCTAAAGTTCAACTAAATACTGTCTTTAGTTTACGCGAGTAGTACATTTCATTGTCATTCATTTCATGTCATTTAAATAGAACCCTAACGGTTTAAAACGCGATGTAGTAAGTATAACTTTTTTGAAAATTATATTAACTAAGATCCTACTTTGCAGCAACCGTGGTCACGGGGAGGCTAAAGATGGAGGGTGTCGCTGGATTTGACATCAGTGGGAACTCTAGGGCCGTAGTTAAAGTAATTTTAAAATAAGTTTAATTAATGTATATCGCGCTTTTAAACCGCTAAAGTGTTTTACTTAAAGCTCAACTAGCTTATAGCAATTTCTTCATGTATTAATTCAAATTAAATCCATTTCAGATTGTTGTAATTTGATGACTCGGGCGGATCTCGAACTCACAGCTATAAAGCATTTCGTGCTGTGCTTCACACAATAAGGCCGCTGCTAGTCGTCGTCTTATTTATGTACTCTCGGGTATAGTTATGTAAGGTATCATCAAATTGTGCTTAATATAGACCTAAATAACTAAGGGGATTTACTAAATATGCATTATGTTCTATACTTCACGTAAAGCTGTGTGTACATCATCCAATCTCGTGTTTCATAATAATATAAAAAGAGAATAGAAAGTCGGTAAAAGTCTGCAAAAGATGAGTACAGACAGAGTGCTGTATGCGTGAGGTATTCAACGTAAAAGTTTCCACGATAACGTAACCACTTCACATTTTAAGTAGATAATGTACCGAGTTTCTTGACTCACTCGTTAGTGTAAGGTCTGCATTTTAGTCAGAAAGGTATCAATGTTTCTACAATTTAAGAATAATAGTATTCATATTGATGAAAAAAATTTCCTGTTCGGCTATGATGTTTAAATATGAAGAAGCAATGATATTTATATACTGTCTGAAGTTTACGCAAGTAGTACACATTTAAATAAAATGCATATACATAGTTGTATGATAAATATTTGTGAAGTAATAATTACTTAAGTAAGAACTACTTGATTGCGCTTAGGTTTTAGTTATATATAAACTTAATATAGTGTTGTACAAATTTAAATAAATATATATATATGTAACGAAGTCGACAAACAATCATAAGCTACCTTATAACTTGAAAGAATTCATGAAGCATTTTCTTGCTGTTCTAAGACAAAGACCGGTAAAAAACCTTTTTTTATTTATACATACGAGTTTACAAAATTAATAAAAATATTCTTGAAGTAAAATAATCCACTGCTCACGCTGCCTTAAACCCACGAACAATAGAATTATATGCGTTAAATTAATTGTTAAGCCAGTTATAAATAAAATTTATATTTTTTTTCCGACCGTACACACTGTGGGTAAAGTTTAATACACCCGCATTCATACATTGATGCGGTGTACGGAGTGAAGAGGGAGGGATTTTTCGCTTTTCAAAGCACGCTGAATAAAACCGAATTCGCCCTCCAATGATTCGAACACGGCCAATTACCCGATTACTTGTAATTTAGGTCGTGTTAATCGCTCATGGGTTGTGGGCCTTTATTTCGATTTTCCTTCAGAATACGTAGGGATAAACGCCTGGCAATTATCTTTTTACACGTAAGAAAAAACTGACTAATTGGTAGGTCGATGTTGTTACCGATACGAGTGTCTTTTTGACACAAAAGAATACACAAGTGAACAACAATACAATTAACGATTTTAATTATGGGTTGTATTTGAGTTTGTCTTTCTCTCATGTGCCCTTTACAAATGAGATATAGAGCAAGTGACAATCTTATATGACTTAATAACATATTAGATATAGCAAGTATTTTTTTAGAAAACACCGTAAATTGCAAAAACTTTATAAATGTGATCTTTAAGGTAAAATTATTATTTTTTAAATGAAATATCGCTTCTCATAATAACTATTTTCTTATTTAAGCTTTTATTTGAACTTAGTTAAGTTTTGTAAACTGCCTTAACATTAAAATAATTGTCGCTGTCATGACACGTTTATTTTAATCATATTTAAAATTATGAAGTTTGATTTCAATGTATCTATGCTTAAGCTACGTCTTTAATTAAATCTTAAGAAAGTTAAAAAAAATACATTTTTTAAGTAAAAAAGTTTGTTGTTAAAATTAATTGAAATAATATAGAAATCTAAATAGATTGTAAGAAAAATTCACACGGATTTGAATCTATAATCACAATCCATCTCTGTAACCAATTGCGCTATAGTCATTTACTTGACTAGTCAATCCCGTCCATGTCGTATTTTCTTCAATCTAAATAAACTTTTATATATGCTATCATGTGCAATGCGAAAAATATTTAAGTGTCTGAACGAAATGTCATTCTTCTACAGAGAAGCGGACTTTCGGATATAAGTAGTACAGTAAAACAGTTACCAGATCCGCGATATTCGCCACTTGAATAGCATCGTGGACGACTTCGGCGCGCGTACTGCCATTCCTTTTGTCGAACATGTATTTGTCAATGACAAGTGCTGTCTCGATATACTTGGTTGTCTCTCGAACGTCCCGTTTTTCGCGTAAGCGGCGCCCCGCTTCGTACCACTCCTGCCAAGAGAGGAGGTCCGAGTGCCTGGAAAATAAATATTTGTGTAATAATAGTTAAACTTATTTTCTTTTTAAGGAGTGCTAAAACTTTAATAAAAGATTCTTAAGATTGGTCACTGGATTTATATAAGAACAAGGTAGTACGCTATTAGTTTAAGAAGTTGAATTAATAAATTTCACCAGAAATTTATATTTTAAGTAATTACAGTAGCTACAATCAAACTGAAAAGTGTGTTAAGATTTCTTCTACATTGTACCACACGCATAAACTAAATTATACAAGGTACTAAAATAATCCGAAATTCTCCTTCCATGATATGTAACGCATAATTATTTTATGTTTTATAGTTGATGATAAGTAAATTTTAATTATTTGTGTTAAAAATCGACCATAAGTTGAAAATAATTTTGGCAGGACATGAAACGGCCATCCACAGCGTTCCGTGCAACAGCATGGATCGGTTTTATCAACCTATTGATCCATGCACCTCTAACGCAATGATTATGTGTGTTACATATACTTTATATACGGTAACAACAAACGGAAATATAATCTTTATATTAGCACATATGAAAACCCTCTTCCAAATTTAAAATAGAACCATTAGGAATATCGCTCTTTTAAGCAAATTCACTCAATAAAATCTACTTAAGGCTCAAAGTTCTTTTATCTCAATTCCCGGTGCTATAGACGTTATCCTATATATTGAGGACCTCATTAGCGGATCGGTCACCCATTCAGAGCCAACATATCCGAATTTCCGGTATGATTTCGAAAACTTCGTCAATTAAATCTTTTTGTGTCGCGAGTTTTCCGCACTGAGTGCTCGATATGAATCGTTAGTATTGAATTCTTTAAAAATTGTACTCTATTTTCATTCGGTGCTGAACATTTAATTCTCCCCAGAATTATTAATAGTGGAAAATATAAAGAAATATACAAATAACTCCCAGTTTTTACAACAGTAGTGAAGTGGCTGTAATATTTGAAAACTGACAAAATGTTAAATAATTTAAGCCAGCATAAAAGTTCCATTTTCTTTATCATTTTAAAAAATAGAATTCTAATAAATTACGTCCAACGTAAAATCTCCTACACGAAGTGAATTCATTAGTTGAACTGTGAGTGTAGTCGGTCGAAAAAATGAGTTCTCAAACTTCTCCCCACTGCATTATTCAACTTTCTGGACCGCGATGATTTATAATGGCGTCCCTTGAATTCTTTGACACTTTTAGGGGTGCTGTAATTTACTTTGCGAATTCAGATTTAAGCAAGGAAACTATATAAAGGTATTGTACTTTGAATTTCCTTTTTAAACGAAATAAACATTACTATTTTGTTTTATTTCAGAAACTTCAACACGACAATGAGTCGACAGCGCATAATTATTAATATGGCTGGGTTATTTGCCTTTTTTCGAGTGATACAGAATTTTTGTAATACAAATAATACATGCGTACATACATAGAAATATTATAATGGTCTTGAATAAATACTTATACATTCTTAGTAGATAATATACAAGTACTTAGTCAAGACCAAAACCTATAAAATGTTTGATCATACTTATAAGTATAAAATATAACAATTTATCGTTTGTAAATATAGTATATTTATGATATTTTATTTGCCAGTAATACAACTATGATAGTACCGAGTCCTCTCTGGGTAACGTGCCCCTGACGCCTGTCATGCGGAATGAACGTTGCGGCGACCTATTTCACGGCATCACGTGAAATTGTACTCGTCCAAGGGAGTATTCACACTTAAAACTCGTATTTTTATGACGAAAGAATACAGCCCAGCACATAGCACGATTTGCTTGATAGACTATACAATTGTATGGCCTTAAAACATTTAATTACGGAGCACTGTCATCTGTTATACATGAAAGCATGCGCATAGCATGAAAAAATAAAAATACATATATTTGTGCAAACCTAGTAGCAATAATTGGCCTACAGGATTGCTACGCGTCGCGATGTCACTCGTAGCGTTAAGCTACGCTACTATCTACGGCGTAGACGTACGCGTAAGAATTAATTATAGGATAATTTGACATATCCAATACGAAAAATTAGGTATGATCTCGTTTTATTCTGGCAGTATGAGCTGAACTTATTTATGAGTCCGTTTCACTGGTCGATTTAATTTATGAGGAAATAGTTGATAAGACTTCATGTAGTCTGTCCAACTGACACATGGTATTGTTTGATCGAGTACGTTAAATCGAGGGCGCCATTTAAGTCTCGTTTCTCTAAAAATGTCTACCCTAATTGTTATTTTTTGTAAAAGAAAATGATTTATAGCTTTGATAACAATTGCTAGACATCGTAATGATGATGACCACTTATTTTGTTAAAATCTTCATCTAAAACAATATCTACTCACATAGAACTGTGGTCGTCCATAAGGGGCGCCTCCACATACGCGAAGTTCTTAGATCGATGTGCCTTTTGTCTGTACTCCAGCTTATTCCCGCAGCCTCGATTCATCTTGGTGCGCGCCTCAAAGATCACATGAGGGTGCTTCTGCTGAAACAAAACTACGTATAGTATTCTTGTTTATGAAAACCTCTTCATACTATCAAAAGATTTTTCCGCATTGGAAGAATGCTATTGAACGTTAAAAGTTTAAATTTAGAACTTCAACAATTTTTAACATGACATTGACAGTAAAAAAAATGTAACCCACACATATTCAATAAACACATACTTAGCTACTAAATTAAATATTAAAATAAATAAAAAATAGACACTAGGTAGCAGTCAACTGTGTTGCTGAGTGCTTGTCACACTCAGCAGCGCTGGTTTTCAGACGGGCCCGGGTATTTTTATATATTTGTAATGCACATATAATATTTTGTACAATAGAAAATCTGGCAAAAATAAATAAAAAATAAAAAAATGAAAGCTGTACAAAGCGGATTGTACGGAAGTGTGAATCGGTTTAACACTAAAAGGAATAACCGTTACCAATAAAAATTGATATTCAATGTAATGCAGGTAACCTCTTCTTTGAGGTAACGAGAGCTGAATAAGAATTCCATTCGGCGTCTAATTTATTTATAAGAAAAAATCGAAAATGAAAATATATTTCGAATGCTGAATTTTTTATGTAGAGTAAAATCATTCATGTATTCAGTTCCGAGTCTCGCGTGGTCTTCCGTTTCCTAATGTATGGGAAACCTTCGTAAAGGTGGCTCGGCAAGAAAAATTGAGTTTACTTAAATAACTGGCCGATAATTCTCAACGAGTGTGTGAAAACTTCGGATCAACATAATATCTAAAAATGACTACAGTTTTTTATGTACAGTTAAATATTCACTTGGGCAATTCTATGTTTTGCACTTTTGCAAGTCAGTTTTACAAATTGCATGATTTAGTTCAATTAGATAACTGGTTTATACTAAAATGAGAATAAATAGTAGTACTGTAGTAGTATCCATATTACGTCAACAATAACATTTATAAGCTTTTTATCTCAAGAGGCAATAACCATATTAAATTACATTGCGCAAGAGGTGCATCAAAACATGTGTCGATGACGTGTAGGACACGTAGCGTAGTGTAGCTCAATTAGTTAGGACGAGAGACCGGACAGCTATGGATATCCGTTCAAATCCTACCCTTGTCTTAAAATGTTTCCATCTAAAATCGATTTTACATATACATAATGCGATCATGTGCCCATGTGAAAAATTGTTTTATAACATATTAACATAAATAAGTTTAAAAATATTTCCTAACATTGTGATATAATTGACGGTACTTTAAAAGCAAAATGTTTTATCAGCGAAACGAACTTCTCGCCTCGTTGTCGCCGTGTTTTGTTTATTGCCACCGTGGAGGGTTATAAGCTTAATAGTTTCGAAAATAAGCTGTTGAAAGTTCGGGAGTTGTAAGTTGTGGTTACATGGCGAGTTAACACCAGCGAGGGCGCGCGACGGCTCTGGTTTTGGTGTCAATAATTATTTGATTGCGATCCCCTGCAAGCCCCTATTTTCTTTTATTGATTTACATATATCTTATATGTCATACAAGTATAGTTAAAATATCTTTTGTTTATTTTCTAGATGAAGTCACGTGAACATGGCAGTAGCAGAAAATAACCATTCCTTTTCATCTTATCAAATTTTGTTGTCATTTTAAATTTGTTAACTAATATAACTGTCATTAAAAGATACGTATTGCTACATTATTATGTATATATATTGCAATTAGCTCTTAGGAGTTGAGTTCTAATATGGGAAAAAGTATTTTTGTTAGAACTTGAAATAATCCTTATTTTAAGCGAAGTATATACAATAAAAATATGTTTAATTATTCATGTGAAAAGTTTTAATTACATTTAATGAAACGAAAACAGAGAGAAGAAATAATATTTTTATATATTAGAAAAAATAACTGAAGTTAAAATAATTTAAAATATTTTATCATAGCTTAGTTAGCTATTGACCACCTCTGTGTTAAGCGCAAAAGGTCCTAGAATCGAAGCTCGGGAATATTCTTAATAGTTCAACAGTGCAGTGTTATCATAATAATAAAATAAATCTCTAACTTATGTAGTAATAGTAAACAGACAGAGAAATATGATCACAACATGCTCCATAAGGCAAAACATAGTACCACTTTAGTTGGCTATTAAAAAGGACTTAATCGAAAGAATTTAGAGTTCACTGCGGTACCTTTAATCTCAATATATGATAAAGGATTCGTGACCGGGTAAATTAGAGAAAATCACAATTGAGATTTCTACAATATAAAGATCTTTTTTCTTGGTTAGTATACCATGCGAATATATGTACACGAGTGAAGCGGAGAAAGATGCGATAAAGTACCTGAATTGTTCGCACAATATATGTCACTCCATCTTAAGTAAAAAAACAATTATATCAAGTAAAAGTTGCCCTAAAGATACGTCGTATATTATTCAGGCGAGCACCCGCAATAAATAAGTCACAGGTGCGGGCTAATACAGCTATTTCAATTACCTTCACTTCACAAAGAAACTAAATTAACTTTAATAATGGTCATTCGTCAATCTCATTGCGTAGTTTATGGTGCCCATTATTGTTTACCTCTCATTAAATAAAATGTATATGACTAACGAGAAGCATACAAAACAGTATATGTAATGAAAACCATTTTCTTTGTCATTGTTTTTTAAATTTCAATTTCAACATAAGCTTTTAAAATTAACAAACATAATTTATACATATATTTATCGTATTTACATTTTATAATGTAATATTATGTTAAGTTAAATATGTATTTGGTTTTATACACTGGTTTTATAACAGATAACTTACAATTTGTAAGTTTAACCCCGGTTAATGAAATTAACACTATTATACAATATATTTTTATACAGTAATACCCGAGTAGATTTTAAATTGAAGAAAATTCATAAGATACGATATGTCTTACCTATATAATATAAAGACTGACCGTTTTACTTCTAGAAAATATTATCACAATCAATCAAGAGCAAGGTCCAGAAATTGAAATCGTAAAAAATGGTCCTCCATTCAATTTCATGTGACACTGACATATTTTCACTCGTGTTATTTTGATATAAAAGCCTTCGAGGGCTAATCTAAAGCTATTTTATACAGAGATTACAGTAATTTATTATTTAAAAAAAGTTTGAGTTTAAGTCTAGAATAATCGATGTCCTCTAAGACTAACACTTCGAATTTATATTTATATATAACTTGAAGTATGTATTTATTGTTCAATAGAATAATAATACAAACGAGACTTAAATACTAAGATGGAGTGCATATTAGAGTATGTATCATCTGAAATTTTATCTACTAACAAAAAAAATAACAAGTATTGTGGTATACCCTCCATATTCAGTTCTCCGAAACCGCTGCTGTAAAGCATCCATAACACTCGCCGTAGTTAAATACAAGTAACTCGGTTTTTTATTTAATTTAAATAAATACTACTCGCATAGTACCTACAGATAATACTATTAAGAAACAAATATAAATTATATTTGTATTTTTAATTTCTTTTATAAATACCGTGAAGAATTACAACTATATTTTTTAAAAGTTTCAGATGACAAATGTCAAAGTCAAATTGGATACGCTAGCGCCATCTGTTACGTAACTGTTTTTTTTATAAAATAGACTTACAATTCTTATAAGGTTTTATTAGCCTGTATATTAAATAAACCGAGTTTTGCTCTGAAAAGCTTTTCAAAATTTGGGCATGGTTATTTTCACGAGAAATAGTTAGTATTTCAGTACCGATAGTAGAAGTATTTTTGCTCAAGTAATTGATTGGTTTTCGATGCATGGAATTTTGTTATTGCCTAAAACACAAAACACTGCAAAGCCTAGACTTCAAGCGCCTGAATCCGTAAAGTGCTGTACAGAGAATATTAAAACGTCATCAAGAGTATACGTAAACGCCATCATGGTATGTGACGTAATGTTTTTTATCGTGATTTTTTGCTGCTTTGTCACAAAATCTTAAAAAAGTGAAGGCTCCACGTTGCCGTTTCAATTTGTATATATCCAAATGTTCTAAGCGACTGCGCATCTTAATCGAATGTGGCAAATCATCTTTCATCAAGTTAATACCATGCTGGCCACAATCTTAAAGCATATTTTAAATATCTCCGGATGCGTAACTTTTAAAATCGATTTTTGTTTAAATATCATTATAATGAATATAACAGGCTTAAAATACGGTCATTGGTTTGAGATACGCCTGTGCAATAAACTGCAGAAACGGGCAAAATATTTTTGTCGCTAATATAACGGATTAAGCAAAAGTCAACCGGAGAGACATTTTGTAGCTTTCCCTTAATTCGTAATATTAGGCAAATTAGCGAACGAGGCGGGCAAGAAGCAAGCAATTTATAATTTGGAGGCTCTTATAATTTACGAGGTCTTATCAGCAGTTCAGTAGGACGCCATGTTTCACTTTGTCTGCGGCGGGAATACTGGGAAAATATATTCAGAAACAAGCTACATTTTCATTATCTTTCGAGATAAAATAGGAAAAGAAAAGTGATGTCCCGATTATGGGGTATGGGCCACGGATACACATTTATGGGACACGGATTTATTGTATGTAGAAGCCAATGTAAAAAATAACGTAATAAATAAAATTTGTAACAAATCGAAATAATTACAAAGAACAAAAAGGTAAACAGCATACTTTTCCGGGAGTCAAACCCAGGACTTCTTGTGCCTGAAACACTTTGATGAGAAGCGTAGACATAATTAGACGTCACTTAAAGTACGCGGTACATAATTAGACGAAGTTAAATAAATCAAAACGGATCTTAGATAGCCAAGATTAACTACTCTCGCTTAAATTTGAAGGCGTTGAATCTATAAGCCATTGATCAACTTCGAGAATATTCGAAAGTGGGAAGGGTTAAGGGGGCGTTTCCCCCCCAGATCTGTCCGCAAACACGAAGCTATGAGCTATAATTCACGATGTATGAGTTTGTGAAATAGTTTGCAGATCATGTTAAAAGATAAGTTTAAAATATACATTAATCT